ACAACATGCCACTTCTTATGAAGGAGGGGCATAAGATTTTGTGACATGGAAAAACAGAAAGATTTTAAAATGTGGACAATACTCAGTTTTGTTGAATTCTAGTTTGACATGATTGTTACTGCTTTGCCTTCACAGTGCCTTCAATGACAATTGCTCAGATCTGGAATCATGAACATAGCAAACATCTGTCCACGTATCAGAAGGATTTTGGAGATGATTACCTTGATATCCTATCAGTTCTGAATTCTGTAGATCCAGAAGAAATTAAAGAATATGTGGAAAGAGCTCCTAAGCCAGGTGGATGATTGTGGGGGGAGGGGGGATTTTGTACAGGACTTGATGTGTTGAATATGGTAAGACTTTGTAATTGTCCTTTCTATCTACATAGTATGTTTTTTAAATTGCTCCATTTCCAAAGTTTCTTTCAAGATCTGGATCTGTTGCCTACCTAAATAAACCTAAAACATACAAGGTAGGAGTCAACAGTCTTTTAATATGGCAGGCACCATGACCCAACAAATGAATATTAAGCATGTTGTAAAAGGTAATGTGTTTATATTAAAAGCTGTTCACCATTTTCATATAAAGTGATGTGAGACATCAGAATTAAGATTTTGAAAACTATTGATTTTAAATATATATTTGCGTTTGGGTTTCGCGGATGTCACATGGGTTGTTTGAGAATCTTCAGGCACAGAATTATTAACTCCTAGTATACTTGAGCAACAACTAATTATTCATATTAATGCATCTTGTAAGATCTTAGAATAAGGGACGCGGTGGCTCAGTGGCTAAGGCGTTTGTCGATTGAAAGGTTGGCAGTTCAATGGTTTGAATCCCTAGTACCGCGTAATGGGGTGAGCTCTCGTTACTTGTCCCAGCTTCTGCTAACCTAGCAGTTCGAAAGCATGTAAAAAATACAAGTAGAAAAATAGGGACCACCTTTGGTGGGAAGGTAACAGCACTCGGTGCACCTTTGGCGTTCAGTCATGCCGGCCACATGACCACGGAGATGTCTTTGAACAGCGCTGGCTCTTCAACTTTCAAGCGGAGATGAGCACCGCCCCCTAGAGTCGGGAACGACTAGCACATATATGCAAGGGGAACCTTTACCTTTTACCTTTTAAGATCTTAGAGATCTTTTGGGGAAATGAAAAACAATATTAGCATCTGGACCACTTGATACACATAAGTCAGTAGAATCATCTGACCTTAAAGGAGACCTTGATAGCCAACTGAACAGATAAAGAGAAGCAGAAGTGGAAAGCAGATTCTGTTTGGAAGTATGGATGTCTGCATGCCTGACAATCAGAAGCCCTTTGGTGAATATGAAAACAAAATGTATTAATATGAGAAGTATTACTGTATTATAGTTCTCCACTAGACCTCATTGAGACTCAAAGCTTTTAGATTATTACAGAAATTTGGGTAGCTAGTATGTGTCAGGGAAGGGCAGGGAATAATGGGCAATGTAGTGAATGTCAGAATACAATTTTATAATTTTAGCCCTTTCCTACTTCAGTTTAAATGAAAACTATCCAACTGAAATAATTTGCTTTTAATAGAAACCTCACATTGTGACAAATACCATGATTTGAGGAATAATTTGTATATATACCACAACAAGAAAAATATGTTACTCCCTTTCTAATCATTAATTCTTGTCAAAGCTTCCTCAGTAATTTGCATTAGAAAAAAGATTAATATGTATTAAATACAGAGAGTTATTTTAGTATGACATCTAGGCAAATCTTGTTGACAACCAATCCATACTCTGAATTAGAAATAATTAATGGCATATATTTTGTCTGCCTCTTCAGATGTAAGCGATAACCTTCTTTCCATTTTTCTCCAGAAAAAATAATCCTTCAGAATTTCCTTGATAGAGTCAGTGGAGACAGAATGTTACAAAGACCTTCCTCATCAAAGAAGTCAAAAGAAAATCCAATCAGATGCGTCTGATACTTTTCAGAAGGAAATTCATCAAAATGGAAGGGTGGCTGTTTCAAAATGCAATATCCTTATGATCTGTCTTAATAGTAAACCATTTGAAGACTACATTTACTTTTCTTATACTTGAGAGTTTCTTTAGAAATCTTAAAAGACTGCAGTGGCACTACTAGTTCCCTAGCACTGACAATATAATGTGAATTGAAGCAGTTTTCAGTTATTATTCCGTAAGATGTGGTATGCTTGATATATTACAGATCAAAACTCTTAATCCATTCCAGTTGCACTGGAGGTTGATTTTCATCCTGCTGTGAGATTACATTAATTACATTAATTAATTACATTATTAATTACATTAATTTCACACCTTTGTTTGACTTGTTGCAATTTTGAGAAATTTTTAAATAAAGATTTTATACACACATACACACATACACACACACACTTATTTTTGCTTAAATGTACTGACATAATGATCAGACATTTTAATTGGGACTCTAACCTTACAAATTTAATAAATGGATGAGTTTTAGTTGACAAATCGCTTCTTCTTTTTTTCTTTGCAACCTGATGCTTTTCAATTTTGTTAGGGTTGCACCCTAGAATACCCAGCCAAAATACTGATGCCAAAACAGTTGAAAAATCCCCAAAAGACAAAATTAAACAATTGCATTTGCATAGGTAAAATATATAGGCACAATTAAATAATTACATTTGCACAAGTAAAAGTAGGAAGTATCATCTTAAAAGAACCATCACAGAGTATGAAAAAACTGAATGCAATAAGCGTTTTTGTCATTGCAAAACTATTTTTATCTGGCATTAGGTATTTACATGAACATTTCTCTGGTTAAACATTAACTTTTGGTCAACTAAACATTCCATTTTAATTTATCAACTATACTTGCAAGATTTTCATTCTTCAATGAACTTCTTTATTTCTTTGAAGCCATATTTTTAGATATTGCTAGATAAAGAACTATTTTTACATATTAATTATGTTCATTGCTTTATAAATTAATCTGGCCAGAAACAAAAAACCCAAGACAACCTCATTAGAAAATATTTCTGTTGTATATGTTTATTTTATATTATTTTCAGTCAATTCAGTACTCGGCTACATTGAAAACCATAAATAAATCCAAGGCCATGGAACAAAGTTAGAGGGGGAAGTTAAGGCTTACAGTCACTTGCACACTTATTTGGAAATAAGCCTGCTATTAGAAATCTAAGACCCTTGACATTATGATAGAATATATAATATTCCTGCTGTGCTTCATAACAGCCTAATCAAAGCATATGCAAATTAGAATGTTTATGAAAACACTTCTTTTCAGATTCAGCTGAGTATGTGTATGAGGATAGGGAAGGATAAAAATAAAATGCTCTGTTCTAATCAGATAGAAGTGCAAGGAATTAAATACCAGGACAAAGCTAATACAGCTGCTTTGCTGCAATGCAAGAGGGACAATATCCAGTTGTTTTAATACATCTAGGAAAGCTGGTTTGGTGCAACATGCTCCCTTCAAATGTTTTACATAGCTCTAGAATTAGTGCAATCCTAGCATACTAGATGGATGTGGTGGCTCAGTGGATAAGATGCTGAGCTTGTCAATTGAAAGGTCGGCAGTTCAGCTGTTTGAATCCCTAGTGTCACGTAATGGGGTAAGCTCCCATTACTTGTCCCAATTTCTGCCAACCTAGCAGTTCGAAAGCACATAAAAAATGCAAGTAGAAAAATAGGGACCACCTTTGGTGGGAAGGTAACATCATTCTATGCACCTTTGGCATTTAATCATGCCAGCCACATGACCACGGAGACGTCTTCAGACAGCACTGGCTCTTCAGCTTTGAAATGGAGATGAGCACCACCCCCTAGAGTCAGGAATGACTAGCACATATATGCGAGGTGAACCTTTACCTTTACCTTAGTATACTATAACCTAGGCCTGCCAAAGTGGCGGCCCATTTGTGTCTGTTCTCTTCATCTCTGAAATATTCTGTCTAGAAGTCTTTTATGAATCATTTTGGAACTTCTCCACTTCTGATTGTTTAATCAGAAATACAGCAAACAATACTTCAGAAAACTGGGGAAGGCTTCAAAGCCACATTCTTATGTCTTGTGTAACCCAAAAGAGAAAAGGACATTCTGGAATCATTTAGAGCTATTTTCATATTTGTGTTCCAGTTAAAAGATTCTGAGCTCACCAGACGATTTTTGTACATGTGTTTTGTATAAATGACCGTCTGATTTGTAGCTTTTTTCTCACAAGTATTTTTCATAAAAATTATTTTCCCCCCTTCATTGGAGGGAGAGATGTCCAAAAAGTCACGATGGAAGCCACAGATATTGACTGAAGTCCTGCCACTTTTTACATAGGTCACAATGCCTATAAAAGGACTGAGCTTTGATTGTACCCTTGTGGCCACTAAGGGCACAATGTTTTTGACCTCTCATGTGGACACACCTTTTTTCAACTCACTTTTTTTGGTGACACTGTTTAAGTAATGCAAACCTGTCAGATCTAATCAGAAAGGCAGAAACAATTGGAGAGAGGTGGTCCCACGAGTATCCAGTCCTCAGATTGTGAAGGAGTTTATAAATGACCATCGGCACTTTTAATTGCACCCAGAAGCATACTGGTAATCTTTTCAGTTTGTGAACAAGCATCATTACATCAGGGTACCGAGACATGTCCATTGGTTCACTATTGCATTCTGGACCGCTTGTGCAGACCAAGTCTAAACCCCTGCCAACTTTAGCCAACACAGAGATGTGCAGCATGATGCAATAAACTGTTGCACATCTGGGTCCATTTGATCCAGACTGAATGCAACAGGAGATCTGCGGAAAGATGCCAAAAATGGTATGAATATATTGTACCTGACTATTTGCTGTAGTTCTTCTTGAAACTTGTCATAACTTTGAGAAACGTGTGTTCTGAAATACATGTGACAACTCCACCAGTAGCTAGGACTATTCCCAGACTTCTCCTCCTTTGAAGTTTGGGGACTTAAGGGAGGTGCAAAGATTGCAGTAACCTGAGCATTGCAGACAGACCTAACAGCAGGTTCCAGGCTCCTGAATAAAAGTAAGCACAAGCTGTTGCCTTATGAACGAAAAACAAATCCAAGATTTCAGCCACTGGAATTAGGAAGACAACGATTCAGATTCCATAATGCCTCTGAGGAAAAAAGTGCGACCAAGTTCTGCTTCTGGGAAGTTAGAGACCTCCACGCTGACCAGGTAAGGGGCAATAACAGAAAGGAAGATGTTACATCTCTATACATTAAACAGAAACACATTGCTGCCTTTATTTTTTTTTTCTTTCAACACGAAACAAGATTTAGTTGCAGCTGCCAAAGGCAGTCATGTTTGGAAAGCTTTTGTGGTTGTCAAGGAACCCAAGCTGTTGGAGTTTAGCGTTTGTTTTTCTCCTTGTGTAGGAATTATAATTGTCTATGCTTGGCACTACGGCTTCTTTTACTTAGCAATGATTCCTCCTCAATTCTATCTCATCAGGAGTTCAGTATGCACAGTTGACCTGTGGTTTTAGCTTCAGTGAAAAGTGTGAACATTTCTTAGGATGGTCTGCTAGCTCTTTTTTTTTTTTTTTTTTTAGAAGATGCAGTACATTATAATCACCTTCAGTCCCCTGAGGAGTTTCTGATGGCATAACCTAAGGCTTACTCTCACAGGAGAAACTTAAGAATAAAGCCACTGTGTTCCTGCAAAAAAAAAAAGCATGTTAAATTTCTGGCATGCTGGTGATTAAATTCACAGAGCAGAGGGAATATTTTTAATAACATTTAACATAACTTTTGCAGGATTCCTGCTAAGAGTGCACATCTCAGCAAAAGCACTTTTTGTAAGGAGGGAAAATCTTGTTCTCTTGCGTATTTATCTCAATCAGGAGTGGCATTCTGACTCAGGAATAAGCTGAACCCTTTAAAGAGGTGAGCTGTCACTCACCATTGATCTATCACAATTTTCTAGGACAAGAAAAAAAGCCAGTGATTCAGTCACACAATCTTATCCAGTGGTGGGTTTCAATTTTTTTTACTACCGGTTCTGTGAGTGTGGCTTGGTAGGCGTGGCATGGCTTAGTGGGCGTGGTTTAGTGGGCATGGCATGGGAGGGATACTGTAAAATCTCCATTCCCACCCCACTCCAGGGGAAGCTTACTGCAAAATCCCCATTTCCTCCCAATCAGCTGGGACTCAGAAGGCAGAGAATAGATGGGGGCGGGGCCAGTCAGAATTTTTACTACCAGTTCTCCGAACTACTCAAAATTTCCACTACCGGTTCTCCAGAACTGGTCAGAACCTGCTGAAACTCACCTCTGATCTTATCCATTGACATCTTGCAATACGTGCAACATACTACTATAGCAATAGTACTTAGACTTATATACCACTTCATAGTGCTTTACAGCCCTTTCTAAGTGGTTTACAGAGTTAGCATATTGCCCCCAACCATCTGGGTCCACATTTTACTGACCTCAGAAGGATGGAAGGCTGAGTCAACCTTGAGCCAGTGAGGTTCAAACCAGGGGTGGGTTCTACTTACTTTTACTACCGGTTCGCAACGGGACTGCACACATGCGCAGAAGCTTCCTGACGATGTCCGGGTTGGTGGGCGGAGGTTCCCAACGGTTTTACTACCGGTTCTTGTGAACCAGTCCGAACCAGGGGCAACCCACCACTGGTTCAAACTCCTGACAGTGAGTAGTGAGTTAGCCTGCAATACTGCATTCTAGCCACTGTGCCGCCACTATACGGCCTGGTGGCTCAGCAGACTGATAGCATTATGATTAACACCAGCTGCCTGCAATTACTGTAAGTTCGAATCTCACCAGGCTCAAGGTTGACTCAGCCTTCCATCCTTTCTAAGGTAGGTAAATTGAAGACCCAGTTTGTGGGGGCAATAAGCTGACTTCGTATAAATATACAAAAGTATGAAGGCTATTGCTTAACACATTGTAAGCTGCCCTGAGTCTCCGGAGAAGGGCGGCATATAAATCAAATTAAAAAAAAAAAACCTAGACTATGCTGTCTAATTTTGTTTAGTCATTCATTCTTTTCTTGAAAAGTCTCAGGGTCTCACAAAATTATTCAGAAAATGGGCACAGTTAATGGTTACCTTTAAAAAACTGTGAACTTCACCATTTCATTGATGGAGAAGTTCAGTAATTTTCTAAAACTCTTTTAATTAACACGAGGGCTAAGTGAACATCCCCTGATATTTGAATTATCCTCTGCCTTTCAAAAAGGATAAGCATTTCTCCTTCAAAAACCACCGTGATATGAAGTGTGATGTTACTAATACAATATTTTGTAGAATTTGGCTAAATAATCCATTTTGATGTATACATCTTAAGAGTTGGGCCCATACAATATGCTTAGTCCCAAGGTTACATTAGGTTTCCTCTGCTCTTTTGTATATAAATAAATTACACATTCCTCTTTTCACAGAATTCTACCCCGTGGTTTGTCCAATAAGCTATTCTCAGCCAGAGATGCTCAAGAACCAATAGAAAACAATATATGTAGCTTATATCATGCTCAACTCTATATCATGCTCAACTATGTTAAGTCCAAATATCCAGTGGAGATCATTGAATGGCTTTGAGCCAGGCCTGACAAAGTTGCTTTGATATGGATAAAATGAGACCATCCCCTCTCCAGCCCATCCCAGTTAAGTATCTGCAAGAATAAACAAAACTATTCCCTGACTAGGTGGCTCAGTGGCTAAGACACTGAACTTGTTGATCAGAAAGATTGGCAGTTTGGTGGTTCGAATCCCCTGTGTGAGCAGGGGGTTGGACTAGATGACTTCCAAGGTACCTTCCAACTCTGTTACTGTTATTATATAGAATGATTATATCACATATATGTGAACCACACTTTAGGATTTCATATTCTTGCTAGTGCCGTGACCAGATGTGCTTTAGTTAATCACAGTGAATGAGAACTTTTACTATATGGGCCTTAAAAAAAAAAAAGTAAATGACAAACCCTTTGATAGTATTAATAAGAAAAATATACAGATTTATTCATGGCATTCAACTCAAAGGAGATTTTGTCTTTTTAAAATTCTATATAGTCTGGTTTATTGTATTTTCCAGGATATTTGAATAATTAATCTCCAGTAAGGAAATACCACAGAGATATTTTAGCAAAGATCATGTCTTGAGCTTTCCAATTAGCTTAAGTGTAACCAAGCAACATTGAAGAGTAAACAAAACATGAGAACAGTGTTTAAAACTATCACTCACCACAAAGCTCTGGTGTATGTTTATTTTTAGTTTGGCTTTCAGCCAGGTAACTGGCTTGTGTATTTAAAAAGGTTCATCTAAGGCAAGGGTGTCAAACTCGTGGCCCGTAGGCCAGATGCGTCACATGCTGGCCCGGTCCCCCCTGGATTAGTGAAAGGGGGGAAAGTCCTGATACGTCACATGATGCTGCCATGACGACGCAAGTTTGACACCCCTGATCTAAGGCAAAGGTGTCAAACTCAAGGCTCGGGGGCCGAATCCGGCCTGGGGGATGCTTAGAACTGGCCCGCAGGGCTGCCCTGGAAACAGCAAAGGACCGGCCCACGGTGCCTCTTCCAGTGAAAAGAGAGCTCAGGAGGGTTGTGGTGGCCCTCCTGAGCTCCGTTTTCCTGGCAGAGGGTCGCAGGAGGCTGTTGCAGCTGAAAACAGCTTGGGAGCCTGTTTTTGCTGGCAGAGCACTCAGGCCACCATGGGTTCCCCCAACACAAGTGACATCAAGCTGGCCACACTCACCCTAGCTACAACAGCCTGCCTCTCCCCCCCGAGGTCAAACACAACCCTGATGCAGCCCTCAGTGAAATCAAGTTTGACACCCCTGATCTAAGGAAACCATAGTCAAAACTAAAGAGAATTCAGCCCATTCCTCTATACATCATTTTATTTGTTGTCATATGTTTAGCCATTAAGAAATGCACATTTCTTCCTTGGAAGCCAGGAAACATATATTCCATCCATTGTGCTCCATTGTTGTCTAGTGGAGGTGGATGTTCTGGAGATGTAGGTTCGCCACAACATTTGGGATGCAATTTGTAGCTCCCCAAAGACTCTGGAGAAATCCTAAGAACCCAAATTACTGGCAAATTATAATTTTCAATTGTAATAGAAGGGGGAAAGTATTAAATTCCCAAGAAGTAGGAGTTCTGACATCCAGGGGCCAATTGGATACCAGTAGATTTATTTAGGATTCAAAGAATAAAAATATTCATAAAGCAAAGAGACCAATAGTTTATTAAAGTAATATAAATTACAGGAGAATGTATACTTAAATATCCTTTCTGCAGTTAAAACTGAAAAACATTTTAGGGGAACCCCTTCTTGGGCCAGCTGGAATATAGAACCTTCCCAGTCATGTCTACACCAAGTGCCAATCCTATTCTGACTTCTCTTGGCTTAAGTACTTTTACATAAATGTAGTAGAGTGATCTGTTTTAGCTCCTGAAGATGTCTGCTCAGGGATGTCTCTTCCTGGAATTCAACAACTCAACTTTTCTTTTGGAAAGTTACTCCTCTATTCAGTAGAGTGATAAGGTTGAGATAAATAGCATAAGTTTAGGACAGAAGGTGCACACGCATCGAGATCAGTACAGTAAATATACACTGCTCAAAAAAATAAAGGGAACACAAGCAGAAGACATCCGAGATCTGAATGAATGAAATAGCCTTATTAAATACTTTGTTCTTTACATACAGTAGTTTATACACTGCTCAAACAACTAAAGGGAACACAAAACTACTGTATGTAACGAACAAAGTATTTAATAAGGCTATTTCATTCATTCAGATTTCGGATGTCTTCTGCTTGTGTTCCCTTTATATTTTTGAGCAGTATATATTTTTATAAAGAAAAAGTAATACAGAGTGCAGAAGCAAACAAGTAGCATAATACTGGATGATAAAGAATAATGTGGAATTTATATAAACCAGGAGAAAAGTGGATCATGGCATTATGATTCCTCACCATTTCGTTTGCATGAAAATTACTATTATTATTAACTTATTTAAAATGTAGCTTAATTATTAAACTATAGCCTAACTAGCTCTATATAATAAAATAGTATCTTATTCTAAATTCTAAACATATACGAATAGAATAGAATAGAATAGAATAGAATAGAACAGAACAGAACAGAACAGAACAGAACAGAACAGAACACAATACAATACAATACAATACAATACAATACAATACAATACAATACAATACAATACAATACAATACAATACAATACAATACAATACAAGAACAGAGTTGGATGGCACAACACCCTGCTCAGGCTGGAAACCCTATACCCGTGATGGCGAACCTATGGCACGCGTGCCACAGGTGTCACACGGAGCCATATCTGTGGGCACACAAGCGTTGCCCTAGCTGAGCTCCAACACGCATGCATGCACCAGCCACCTTATTTTCTGCTCTTCCGGGCCCACTGGATGTCGAGAAATGGGCTATTTCCAACCCCCAGAGGGCCTCCGGGGGGGGTCGGGAAGGCAGTTTTTGCCCTCCCCAGGCTCCTAAAAAGCCTCTGGAGCCTGGGGAGGGTGAAAAACAGGCCCACTTTTCCATCACTTGCCAAAAGCTGGGGGAGCGGGGGGGTCACACACATATGTGCGGGGTGCATTGAATTATGGGTGTGGGCACGCCCGCCCGCAAACCCCTCCGCGCTCCCCCCTGTCACTGCCCTATACCATTTCAGAGAAATCATTGTCCAATCTCTTCTTAAAAACTTCCAATGTTGGAGAATTCATAACTTCTGGAGGTAAGTTGTTCCACTAGTTAATTGTTCTAACTGTCAGGAAATTTCTCCTTAGTTCTAAGTTGTTTCTCTCTTTGATTAGTTTCCATCCATTGCCTCTCATCCTGCCCTCAGATGCTTTGGAGAATAACTTTACTCCCTCTTCTTTGTGGCAACCCTTGACATATTGGAAAACTATTATCATGACACCCCTGGTCCTTCTTTTCATTAAAAGAAATATATGATTAATTCAATTTTATTTTACTTAAATCACCATCATTCCATTGCTGGTTGTAATCATGTCTGGAAACATAACTGTCAGAACGCCACTTAAAGATCAAGCATGACCCTTGACATAAAAACATTTCTGTTTACCACACTACCCTGCATATACCCTGTCTTGTGCCCTTGCAAGCTGAAGATCTTTTAGCATATGAGCAGAAGACTCCAGCGTCAGGCAAAAGCCATTACAGAATGGATAAATCCCTTGTCTCTGATCTAAACGCACAAGTTTCTGGGGGGAGATTTCAGGTTAATCCTGCAACAAAAAAGAGCAAGAGCTTTGAAGTATCATAAAAACTAAGAAACATATAACTGCTTTGTTATTTTAACTTAGAATGAAAGAATGATAGAGTTGAAAAAGAGAGTTTAGGTTATGAAGTCCAAACCCGATCAAGTAGGTTTAAGTGGTTGGAGAGTTTGTGGGCAGATGTACTTCAATTGGGATTGGTTGGGGAACACAGCAGAAGAAATTGGGCGAGCCATTTCAGGAAAAGGAAATATTCATGGCTTTGCAGGTATATTTGTCAGATGAGCCTGGTGGCGCAGCAGACTAATAGCCTGTTATTATCATTCAGCTGTCTGCAATTACCGCTAGTTCGAATCTCCCCAGGCTCAAGGTTGACTCAGCCTTCCATCCTTTCTAAGGTAGGTAAATTGAGGACCCAGTTTCTGGGGGCAATAAGCTGACTTTGTATAAATATACAAAAGTATGAAGGCTATTGCTTAACGCATTGTCAGCTGCCCTGAGTCTCCGGAGAAGGGCGGCATATAAATCAAAAAAAAAAAAAAAGATAGAATTGGATCACTTGAATCAATCTCAGGTTAGGTTGTTAAGAGTACACAGACCTAATCATCATGCTGTGATCTGCAAGATCAGGGACATGGATCATAAAAGAACCTGTGGTGGTATTGTCCATCTATGGAGTATTCCATCTTCAGAATATTCACCTCATTCCCCCTGTTGAAACTCAGGTAGTCAGCCAAACTGAAGCTCTTTTGTAGAGCTGTTAGTACATAATCAAATGGTTTTGGGATGCTGTGTTGGTTTTTAGGTTATGGATTTAATTTGATTTTTGTGAGTATTCTTGTAAACCACTGAGAATCCATACAGATAAGGGATTTCCAAAACTGTATAGCATATAAATAGATAGACAGAAACTCTTAGATGTTGCTGACATAGAAAGTGTCCATAATGAAGCACCTTCCTTCCTTCCTTCTTCCTCTGTCCTTCTTTCTTGCTTTGTTATCTGCAGCTTTAGTCCAAATTTGAGACAGTCACTTCACCTTTTAATACCTCAGGCACAGTGGTGGGATTCAACCAGTTCGCACCAGAGAACCGGTTGTTAACTTTCTGAGCAGTTTGGAAAACTGGTTGTTGGAAGAAATCATTAGGGCAGAGAACCGGTCGTTAAATTATTTGAATCCCACCACTGTTCAGGCATCTTTATTTGTTAGTAGAATAATTGTAATTTATGGATGAAAAAAAAAACCTGTCTCATTGTGTCAAAGAGAATTAACTCTAACTGCAGTCTGGAATTTTACTTCTTTTGTTTCTATTGTTCCCAAAACTGGTTAATAATGAATGAACAATAATACCATTTCCCTCATGGTCACCTTCTGTTTTTGTGCTTGGACAGCATTCTGAATGAGCTAACAGAGCCGACATTGACAAAAGACTCTCTGTTTGGAAGGGCACAGACTTCGTTTGCAGGCCCCAGATTGCAAACTGCCTCTCCAGTTTCTATTGGCAGCTTTTCAGAAGATCAAAAGAATATTCCCAGACCTCCAGAATGGCTGGTGAGGGAATTGCTGAAACGGCAGCAAAGGAGTCACTCCATTGGACTCATGGAAAACATCTCAGAGAGCGAAAGTATTCATCACCGTGCCGATTCCTCCAGAAGCCACTGGAAAGGCAAAGTATAACACATTCTCTTTGCTGGCTTTAGTAAGGATTTTCCAGAGTAAAAGGCTACGAAGTTAAAAGCTTATTCAAATGTCCTTTGTACAGAGAGCATCTGCTTAGAAGTTGCTTAGAAGTCAGGTGAAAACTGAGACACATATTTTAGGTCATGCTATACATTTTTATCAGATTATTTAGGACTGTAGCACACGTCTCAGTCTCCATGGAGATGCCACAGAATTGGCACTGCAGTCTGTTCAAAACCAACCACTGAAATACGAAGCAAAGATATGGGGACCCATATCTATTTTTCTACTTTAAAATATTATGAGTTTGGGGGTTGGACAGAGACCTGGACCTAACATTCAAGGGTATGAAATATGTTTTGTTGCCTATGTTGCTCTGGTAAGTGCTAATCTGTATATATCCAGCCGAAGGCACATAAATAAAACTATTATAATGAAGGGAAAGTTAATTCACTCTCTGCTAAAACATTTTCTCATATTCTACCTTCTTTTTGGATATATTCAACATTAATGGTGCTTTTTGTTTCTCTAAAACATCTGAAAGCTTAGCTCAGAGGGGCAGAGTTGAACATTTGGGAGTTTATTTATTAAGATTTTGCATTTATATACTGTTTTCATGTATTATTTCTATTTTGTTACTTGCCTTCTAAGAGTGTATATTCTTCCTGATGCTGTAAGGGGACTAAAAGCATTTGTGGCAGATATTAAATATTGACTCAAAACATCAAACTAGAAACTTCTCTCTGAAATTTAGTTGTGTACCATACAATGCTTGCATTAATCCATCCTGCTCTTTGTCTTGGCAAGATTGAACAGCAGATTACACTTGATCAGCTGCAGAAACTATACACAGCCTTTCAGGTACAGTCATCCTATTAAATGATTGGTGTCAAAGTATAGAATGATCTTTGCGTGGAATTTTTGGTGTTGCAGTTGCAACATATCTGGGAGGATCTAAGTTGAGAAGGTTTGTAGATGTTATCCCATTGGAAAACATAGATTAAAGGCATCATTTGATTAAAATTTTTTGTCTAATATAAAATATTTATGCTTTGGGATTGGTTTGATTTTAATGTAAGGTGATCATGAAAGAAAGTATTCATTCTTGAAAAGGTCAGTGTCGAGATGTCAAGCAAGAAATATAATCCTTGCAATATGTGATTGCCTATCTTGGCATAGTACGATGAATGATTATTAATAATTGCTATTTTATTGTTTTAATATTTGCTACAGATGGTGCATACATTACTTAGATTAATTGGGATTGAAGTGTTTCTAAATTTGTAAGTTGCCAAGGATCAGAATTTTTAATCATGTGATCATGGGAATGCTGCAAAGGTCATAAGTGTGAAAAACGGTCATAAGACATTTTTTTTCAGTGCCATTGTAATTTTGAATAGTCACTAAATGAACTGTTGTAAGTTGGGGACTACCTGTATTCACTTTGGATGGCATATAACTTTAATAAATAAATATGAAATATTACTCAAAATTGAACTGCGCAAACTGAGGAGTCTAAGCCATGACTAATTTAATAAATTTTGCTTTCAGTCTTGCTCAAATATCACAGAGTGCATTTGCGATAACTCTTTGATCTGTAATGGATGAAATCTCAAAGGGACTTGAACTACTCAAGAAAGCCCAATTGGGTAACACAGAGAAAATAAAATGAAAGAGGAGAAAAATGGCTTTCCCCCCTCCTTTACAACAAAATAGGCTGAAAATGTTCAAACAAATTTAGGACACCTTTTCCTCCAGTCACCTCCCAACTTTTTCCACTGCTCTCAGCTGAGATTTATTGCTGCCTGTCTTATAACAGTGACTCAGTATAACATGACTAAATGAGTTCCTCTTCATGAAAAATGTTCAGGAGTTAATATGCCAATTAATGTTGAAACTGTAGAAATGATTGCAGAGATGAGCAGCAAATATGTTTATGGAGATTTTCAGTCATCTAGATCAGGGGTCTCCAACCTTTTGGACCTCAGGGACCACCAAATTCATAATTTTAAATCCCTTAGACCACTGGGAGGGGAGGCTCAGCCGCCTTTTGGGCCTACCTGTCTGCTTCTGTGATGCCTCCGGGTGGGAGGCCCAAGAGAAAGTGCCTGGTCCAGGTACACAGCCTGTAAATCTCTTTTGTGTTCCTTCTCTCAAGAAGTTTGGTCAATCTGAGTGAAGGAAAACGAAAATGGGCAGACTGACAGTGGCTTGCTGACGTTGGTGGGAAAATCGGTCTGATATTCCAGAGCTACTAGTCACAGGACTGGCCCTTTGATTATCCCGAAGCAGCTCCTCCACCCGGATGCACCGGCCTGCAGGGAGCTGCCACCAGTTGGCAACCACTGATCTAGGTCATGGTTCTCCCAAAGATGCTTTGTTGCAATATTTTCAGGATCAGACTCAATAAGATCAACAAGAGTTAAAGATTTAACTATATATTCTTTTATTTACATTAGGCATTCTATATTCACTGAATATTCACAGATAGAAGCAAGGGAAATGGTGTAGGTAGCTCCTTATATATACAATGGGTGGAGCTATATGTGGGAGTGGTGAATTATGAATACATTAAGAAGTGAAGAATAAGTTAACCCCTGATACCCTGTCTGTACACTATTTACACATTGGAGAATAAGGCATTTATATCTGACAAATCCCCCTCTAAATGCCGATTCGTTATACAACACCAGTTACATTCAGATTCAGGACAATACAAAACATACAACTTAGAGGTTAAGTATTTATGCTGTTTAGAAGGTAAAGGCTTCGTTAATATATCAGCTAATTGTTCTGAAGTGTCGCAATGCACTGCTTTAATAATCCATCCTGAGATAATTGTCTCACATGTTTAAATTTTATATCTATATGTCTGGATCTTTGTCCAATGGCATCAGATCTAGATATTTCAATGGCTGCTTTATTGTCTTCATGCATAACAAAAGGCAGAGCAGGTTTTTTCCAGACATCTGAAATTAAATCATTAAACCATACAAGATTATTTGCGGCCTTGGATAAACAAACATATTCCGCTTCTGTTGTTGAAGTAGCCACTAGTTCTTGCTTACCAGTGTACCAGTAAACTGGACAGTCATTTAAGAGAAATACATAACCGGATGTGCTTTTTCTGCATGAGGTGTCTCCAGCCCAATCTGCATCTGCATAACACGTAAGCTTTGGTTCTTTAATATCATTAGGTTCTAACATTAAACAAAAGTCTAGTGTACTTTTTAAATATCTTAAAATTCTTTTAACAGCTTCCCAGTGGTACATTGTTGGTTTGCTGACATGCCTAGATAATAAATTGAGTGGTAAAGCGATGTCGGTCTAGTCCAATTAGATATGTAAAGGAGTGAACCTATGATTGATCTATAGAATGTATTGTCCTTGAACTCGGGAGAGGATTCATCAGAATTCCTTAGAAAGTCAGTTTGCATAGGGGTATCACAAGGTTTGGCATTGTTTAAGTTGCATTTATTTAAAAGATCTATGATCTTATCTCTCTGGGTAAGTTTGAATCCCCTTTTTGTCTTATTAATTTGGACACCAAGGTATTTGTTTACCTTGCCTAAAGATTTCAATGAGAAATGTTCATTTAGTTTAGTTACAAAAGTTTCTCTTCTTTCTTTATGTTTTCCTATGTATAAATGTCATCCACATAAATCAATACAAATTCAATGTAATCATCACCCCTCTTGACAAAGAAACAATTATCAGCAGTGGTAGCGTTGAAGTCCATGGTCTTAAGTACTTTTACTAAACAATCATACCACCGTTTACCAGATTGTTTTAGCCCGTATAAACTCTTGTTTAACAACCAAGTCTCATTTCTGTTTGTGTATGGACTATGAGGTGCTCTCACGTATATTTCTTTATCTAATTTTGCGTGTAGGTACGCAGTCTGTATGTCATATTGGAATACATCTAGATTGAGTGCTGAAGCTACCACTAGAGCTGTTTTGACACTCTCTGTTCTTACAGTGGGGGAATACGTGTCAGTATAGTCCTCTGGATATTTCTGTGCATAACCCTGTGCAACCAATCTAGCTTTGTATAGAGTATTTCCTCCCTCTAAATTCTTAATTTTATATATCCATCTGGTACCAATAATTGTCTTATCTTTAGGTGCAGATGCAGGTGTAAATACATTTAGTCCTTGTAAACTTTCCATCTCTTTCTTCATTGCTAATTCCCATTTTTCTTTTTCTTCGTGAGGAAGTTTTAACACTTCCTCGTATGTATTGGGTGTTGTTGGTTCACCATTCATGTGCATTACATAATCCTTGTATTTATTTGGCATTTGATTTCTGGTGTTTCTAATGATTTTCTCGGGTTTACTATCGTTATCATGCAAATATCTTGCTTCCTTTTTTGTTAGTGTATCTGTCTTTATTTTGAGTTGGCTATTTGTCCAAGTTTTGGTTTTGTTTTTATATTTGTTGATATTTTGTTTTTCTATAGTCCCTTTCTCATGAGATTTTGTATCTTCATGTTTATTTGGGAATATCTCATTAAGATGTAATTTAGACCAGTTAGCTTGTTCATGGAACACAGCTGTTCTGGAGACTATAAATTTGTTGTTACTATCAATGAATCTGTATCCTTTAGTGCCAGTCTCATATCCCATAAATCTGAGTCTCCTGGACACATTTTCTCCCTTTCTTCTTAATTGTTTAGGTATGTGTACGTCTGCTGTGACTCCAAATATATGCATGTGTGCTAATTTTGGTTTTCTATTATACATCACTTCATATGGTGTCTTATTTATAATGCTGGACCATGTTCTATTTTGTGTGTAATTTGAATAATGTAGGGCTTCTGACCAGAATTGTTTGCTTAAGCCAGCATCTTCCAATGTGCATCTAATCATGGTTTGTAATGTGGAATTTTTTCTCTCTGCAATCCCGTTTTGGAACGGAGAAAATGGACTAGATGTGTAATGTAACATTCCTTTGTCTTTTAACCATTGTGAGAATTCTTTAGACATGAATTCGCATCCTCTGTCTGTCATAATTTGTTTTATTTTGATGTTGTGTTGTGTTTCTATGCGTTTGTAAAATTCTTTAAATTTTTGAAATGTTTCATCTTTGTGTTTTAATGTGTAAACAAATCCATAGCGGCTATAATCGTCCACTATTGTCAGGAAGTAACGTTTCCTATAAGTGATTGATGGAGTTAATGGACCAACTAAGTCCATGTGTACTAAATCAAAAATTTTGTTAGTTGATCTGGTAGATTTTCTTGGCCTGGGACTAGTTTTTAGTTTTGTAGATTTACATACTGAGCATTCCAGATAATTTTCACAATTCTTTATTTTAACACCTTCTGCGTGTTCAGTCATTTTTTGCACTACAGGAAAACTGGCATGTCCTAACTTCCTATGCAATATGTGAGCACACTCATCATGAATTGGTTTACCTATCTTTGGCTTCTTATCGTTGTGTGCATCTGTGTGATCATGAGATATTTTACATTCATCATTGTCACTGTTGCTAACATTCTCATCATCTATTTCAATACAATCTTCCATATTTGAATCAATGTTATGTAACCATTTTTCTTTTGTTATTAGGTAAGGTAGTCCTCCTTTAGTCACCACAGTGCCTACATTTATTTTATTCTTTTCCAAAGTTGCCTTTCCTTTTGAAAAGACAATGTTAATGTCAGAATCTCTGCTTAGTTTTATGGCACTTAATATGTTATGAGGTATTTCAGGTATTAGTAATACCCCCTCTATTTTTCCTAAACCAGGCAAGGTTACATTTCCTCTACCTAATACTTGAACCTTTTCTTGGTTAGCTACCTTAATTACAAATTTATCTTCTGCAAATGAAGACAATATACTTTTGTTATTAGTGGTGTGATTAGTTGCTCCAGAATCAATAAGCCAATTATTGTTCTCACTTTGTTGTGTGTTAGTGTTGTCTTGTTTATTTAATCCATTCAGTGAACCAGACTTTCTATCCTTTGAATTGTCTCTGCCCCTCTATTCTCTCTGTGATTTGGTGGGCTCCTATATCTATGCCTTTCTATGGAAGGCTGTCTATAATCGTATTTGTTTCTGTATTCTGATCTATATCTTTCTTTTAAGAATTTTGGGCAATCTCTTCTATTGTGTTCCCTGGATCCACAATTATGACATTTAAATGTTCCACTATATTTTTCTTGGAAAGCTACTTTCCTATATGGTTTATGTTCTGTGTGATTGTTAGAACGATTCCTTCTAGAATTATCTTCTGTTATCAATTTGTTAGATAGACTTTCTATGGATAAATACCCTAGATTGATTGTGTCTAAATGTGACATAAAATTGTCCCATGATGGGTCAAGTGAGTTGATAATGACACTTTTCATTGTTTGGTCTGAAATCACCTCCCCCCTCAAATGCAGTTCAGCTCTTATTTTGTTCAAAGATATTAAATGTTCACTTATGGAAACCCCTGGTTTTATCCTAGATGAAAAGAAGTCTTTAGATATCCTTGTGGTGGTGGCTACACTGTCACTGTGAAACAAATTAAACATGCATTGAATAATTTCTGAAACAGTCAAATTTGGCTTAATGCTGTGATACATTGCAGGAGACACACTAGATATTATTAAGAAAAAAGCTCTATGGTGTAAACAATCTATTTTTAGTGTCCAAGGTCTTTTTGGGGGACTAGTGATAAAAAACAGTAAGTTTTCCTTCATAAAGACAACCTGGAGCTGTTGATACCATTCTTGTAAATTAATGCCATCAACCCTTAGTTTTGGGAAGTCACTGGGTAAATTTCCGACATTATTGGGTCCATTACTTACAACCTGAGGTAGTCCGTGGTCTCGTAAATGCAGAAAATTGCAAAACGGCATGGGGATGCTCGCTACGAGTCTGCATGATCTTCTCTCCTGTTCATGTCTTCCCGGATCGTCAGCGTAGTTTCGCGCATGCGCGTTGCCCATTTCTTCTTCGGCGTCGTCGTGGAAGGTTCTCCTCATTGCGGCTTGCTCGCTCTGCTCTTCTTCAGATGAGTCGGTCTCTGGTTCGACTTTGGGGGTTCTGGCGACGGTGGCTGTTCTTCCTCTTCTATTGAAAGCGTTGGTGCTTGCTTCGGTCTGCGGCGTAGGGCGGTATCGGCAGGGCTCTCTGGGTTCCGGCGTCAGCGCTCTAGTAGTCAGGATGGGAGCGGGCAGGTCTTGAGGCATTGGCTTGCTCGTTCGCTTTTTTGGTGTCTTTTTAGTAATTTTCAGTTTTGGCCCAAATGCAGCAAAGAGCGTTTTCATCGCTGATTTTATTTGGTGTTTTGTTGGATCTTCCTCGCTTTCTGGTTCTGATTCTTCTGAGGTGTTTGAATCTTCCTTTTCGTTTTCGTTGTCCGATAATATTTTTCGCGCCAGAAATTTTGAATTGAGCTTGCTGATTGGCTCTTCTTCGTTCATCTTGGAGGCCGGTTGAAACCAAGATGGCCGCCATTCAAATTTTTGCGCGGGATCATCGTTTTTCTTCTTTGTAATGATTTTCTCCGCAGTCATATTACTCACTATTTTTGGATCTTTGGGTTTTTCATTGGTGATGTTTTTCTCTCTCGCTGCTCCGCTGTTCTTTAGCATATCTTGGAGGTTCGCGATGAGGCTTTCATCATTCTTCTGGCTTTTTAATAGTTTTAATATCTCTGACCTGAGTTCGTTATTTTCTATTTCGATTTCCTCCTGGTCATCAATTATTTCTTCGTCTTCAGTGGTGTATTCTTCGGATTCTCTCGAAATTGCATTCGTGGATTCGTTGATTATTTCTTGTTCCGTTTCCATTTCTTTGCTGTAGGCCCTGGTGTTGGGCCTATCTTTCTTAGACATTTTAAAGCTTTTTATTGAGTCAATTAACCATCCTCTGCTACCAGTTTGTTGCAATATTTTCAGGATCAGACTCAATAAGATCAACAAGAGTTAAAGATTTAACTATATATTCTTTTATTTACATTAGGCATTCTATATTCACTGAATATTCACAGATAGAAGCAAGGGAAATGGTGTAGGTAGCTCCTTATATATACAATGGGTGGAGCTATATGTGGGAGTGGTGAATTATGAATACATTAAGAAGTGAAGAATAAGTTAACCCCTGATACCCTGTTCTGTACACTATTTACACATTGGAGAATAAGGCATTTATATCTGACATGCTTTTTCAAGAGGCAACTGGACTTTCTGGATTTTCTTTGAAGAGGATCAAAGAGGCCATCTATGTCAAAATTGAACAGCCCTCTCTCAACAGAGGGGGAGGGATATGACATCTCCACCCCTATTTGCACCACTCAGGTGACCCTGATGACACAGATAAACCTCCAGGTGGACTTAACGACTCGCTAAAATAATGGAAATGATCTGCTGTCTGCAAGGAATATAAATCCTTCCATTCCCCACCATCCAGTCAGAGCTGAAAAAGCTTCTTGGATGAGAAGCAATATGTCTTCAAAAGAAAAACCAGAAAGTCCAGTTGCCTCTTGAAAAAGCACCTTTGGGAGCAGCAAAAATGATTAGGGGGAATGGAGGCTAAAATATACAAAGAAAAGTTGCAGGGATTGGGGTATGTCTACTTTAATGAAAAGAAGGACTAGGGGTGATATGATAGCAGTGTTCCAATATCTAAGAGGCTGCCACAAAGAAGAGGGGTTCAATCTATTTTCCAAAGCACCTGACGGCAGGGCAGGAAACAGTGAATGGAAACTAATCAAGGAGAGAAAGAACCTAACATTAAGGAGAAATTTCCTGACAGTGAGAACAATTAATCAGTGGAACAACCTGCCTCTAGAAGTTTTGAGTGCTCCAACACTGGAGGTTTTCTGGACAACCATTTGTCTGAAATGGTATAGGATCTTCTGCTTGAGCAGGGGTTGGACTAGAAGACTTCAAGGTCCCTTCCAATCTGTTATTCTGTTATTAAAATATGTAGAGGCCTTCAGTAAGTAGGTGGAACATTTTCCCCAGTCCTGTGGCAGATAATAGGCTGCCCCCTTTACAGCCAATGCCAAAGCAGAGAGGAAGACTCCAGTGATGGATTAATGGTTAATAATATAATATAACCATTAATCCAGGTGGAAAGAAGGTCCAGGTGAGTGGATGTCTTTTTACCCAGGACCAGAAACAATACAGATCACAAGGACTGTTCTCATCAGGTGGCATGATTTATTGAGTGTGCTGTTGAGGCAGGTCAAAGTATCAATAGAGATAGAAACAAAAATTTGTAACTTTGGTAGAGAAACAGAGTCATCTTTCTATAATGAAAGTGGATCAGAATCCCTCTTGAATTCCTGGGGACTGCTGTATTTGTCAAGTCTCAGCCCAAAGACGACATAGTGAATCCAGTTCTTTATTTGCTTATATCTAATAGACAGAATCTTGCCAGGCTAAAGCTATAAATTTCTAACCTAATTGATATACACTGGGAGATTCTAGGGCGTGGCTACCCTTAATCTTTTCCTTCCTCCCCCATCTAATTCAGAACTACACAGACCAGTGGTGAAATCCAATTTTTTTACTACCAGTTCTGTGGGCATGGCTTGGTGGGCATGGCAGGGGAAGGATATTGCAAAATCTCCATTTCCACCCCACTCTGGGACCGGCCAGAGGTGATATTTGCCAGTTCTCCGAACTACTCAAAATTTCCACTACCGGTTCTCCAGAACCTGCTGGATTTCACCTCTGACACAGACTTTTTTGTCTTGAACCCTTGTTTGGAATGTGCTGCCTTCTCCATGGGAAGTCGCAGTGCTACTGCCAACATTGCCCCACTCCTTCTTCAGCTGTACATTTCTTCACAATATCTGATTTATGATGAAGATAATATTGACATTATGGTACTTTAGTTTAATATTTAACATTGCTCTCATGTTTGAATTATTCGGAAAGAAAGAAAGAAGTGACAGAAGAATTTGAAAACCTAAAAGCTAATATTTTGCCATGTCTACTGCTCTATACCAATGCTTAATAATGTTTTGCTGCTTTATTTGCCTCCAGGGATTGGAAACAAGTGGACATAAATCTGTGGATGTAGAAAGCTTCAAGCACATATTAAAGACATGTGTGGGACCACATAATGCAGTAAGCAAGTAGTTTGAAATTACTTGGGATATTTTAACATTTTATTTTATTTTCTATTTTAGCAAAAGTTATAAGTAAAAGGGGGATGGGAATGGAAAATGCCTTCCTTCCTGCCCTGTTTTTAGGTGCTGCATCAAATTGTGGACTGAGCTCCAACAAAATGTGTCTTGTGAAATTTCAATGCTTTGTTAATGTAAAGATCTTTTGCACATTTTTTTCTCTTTATAGACTGATGAAGAAGTGGAAAAACTGTTCATGAAAATAGACTATTTGGCAACTGGCAACATTCAGTGGGTACATACATATTTTGCTTAATGGAAAATCAGATGAGGTGTAGTCAAGCATTTGGCCACAACAAAATAAGAAAAAAAAAATTTTTAAATGTGAATTAGCAGAAATATTTTTGTGGCAGCATTAGAAAAGTGTTAAATAAATAATCACAAAATGGCAGATGTTTCAGATTTGAAACACAAGTAGCTTAAACGCTTGATCGAAAGTGTTGGAAATAAATGGCGCTACAGTATTTGTGGAGGTACTGAAATTAGTACAAAGGTTTTGTTCCTTCTGAAAATATGTATAGCACCATACTCCATAGGTTAGTTACTTGTCAAATGTTACATATCTTTTACTTGGCATGTTTGTAGGATGGAATAAATAAATTTGGCTCTATGTTCGCTTAGGAATAAGCCTATTGGATACTGAAGGATTCAGTTTTGAATAACCATGCATGCCACTTGCATGAATAGACACCAGGATAGTAACGGTCTCTTTTTCTCGATGCAGCATGATTTCTGCACATACTTGCAGATAGAATATGCTGAACTGGACAGCTCATCTATGCGCTTGAAAGAGGTCGCCTTTTCACTTCCTGCTACAATGCAAGAGATCCCACACGGAGAGCCTGTGCTGCGCATTTGCTCCCTGGTGGACAGCACATTAATAACAGCACAGGAAGATGGGCAAATTTCTTTCTGGTCACCAGAGTTCAAGCTCAAACGAAGCAAGATGGTGTTTGTATGTCACATGTTTTTATTTTGCAGTATTTAGGAATGTAGTTCTATTTGTTTCCATTTGTATTGTGTTCTGTCTCGATGAGGTTGCATTTTGAAAGATCTTTCTGCTTAAGTAGAATCCCCGATTGTTCAAATTCACCTCTCTTGGCCCTTCATACAGCCTTTTCCAATATGACCTTCCAGATGTTTGCTGGTGCTGAAGGAAATAGCATTGCATTACATCTGATACTCACTGGATTAGGAGGACTATTGTCTCATCTCTTTGGAATGGTTTTTACATGACTTTTTGCACCACAGCCTTTTCCCATTTGAATCTCAAGAAAATATCTTCATACCCGTGGCTAGAAATGAAGCTGGTTTATGAAATACCTTTATGGATTCTAGACTCTTCCTTCACTTTAGCCTCAGTGATAGCCACGTATCCCAACAGAATACCAGTTGCCTCTACCCCCACCAATGGATCGTTTTCTTCCTTACTCCTCCCACTAATTCCTTTCTTTTCCTTGGATATTTTTTTTTTTTTTTTGTGGACTACAAGAAAAAAAAATTAAAAACACCAATCTTGGCACTCTTCTTATTTCTTTGGTTTTTAAGGAAAAATGGAAGAACTCTTTCTATTTTCATCAAGATTATATTATGTGTGTGTTAAAGAAAATACGCCAGTGTTTCAAAACACCCAGAAAAATGCTGTATACTTAAAGAAGCAGGGAGTATGGATCAGACCTAAGTCTTAACATGAGGGAGAGAAATGTACCCTATAGATGGTGCTGAACAACTATTCTCAAGGTCCATCAAAATTGCCTGTGGTAACTGGACAGCTGGGAATTGTAGTTCAGCAATATTTGGAGAACTGTGTGTTTCCCACTTCACTCGAATAGCATTCTTTAGACAATCCAAAGAAATCTCTTTTCCTATATTAGTGTACCGGCAAGAATTTCTTCTTAAAACTATTTCCTTTGTTATTCTCTCTGTACAGCCACGTCCACTCTGCTTTTTCCTGTATCCAACTGATTTTTTAAATTTATTCTGATTTTGAAAGAAGAGTTGCCTAATTAATGATTCAGAAATGCCAGCTAAATTTTAACTGTTTGTCCCCTTTGTAGGAGAAAATTCACAGAAAATCTAAGTGGCTGATGGATTTTACTGTCATGACACCCTACAATAAACTAATTCTGGGAACTGGGCAAGTATCTCACATATATACACCCACTAACGTGATTGATCATTTCTTTTTACTGCAGAACATTGAGTGAAACATTTAGTTGAACATAGCAATGGCTACAGGATATGGTAAAAAAATTCAGGATGGATACAGGTTGTGAGCAAAGCTTGTACCATTGTGTTGTTAACGTCAGTCGGTGGATGCTGCAATAGGAAAGGAAAATGGGGAAAAAATAGCAGTGCATGAGTAACCAGAATATTGTTCATGCCAGCTGGAGGAGATTCCTCTTGAGGTGGATGTTGCTGGGTGGGCCTGGAATTTCGGAAACCAACAACCACAACTCTTTGAGTATAGAACATAAAAGCCATATAGACAGCAACACAGCATAGACCCACTCTGGGTATGCAGTACAGCAACCTGTTTGTGAAGGCAACAACATACCTCAGATAGCCGGATGTGAGTCTCTCCTGGTGAAGTGGGGCCATGGGATGCAGGTGGGCCTGCTGATCGCGTACCTGGCTCCCTGCCACGTGACAGCGGCCCTGCCCGAGCTTCTCAACGTTATTGCCGGGGTGGCGGTTGATACCCCCAGACTTTTGGTCATGGGGGATTTCAACCTGCCATCTACCGGTGGGGCGTCTGGGATGGCTCGGGAGTTTATGGCTTCCATGACAGCCATGGACCTGATACAATTAATTCATGGCCCCACTCACGCGGGAGGACACACTCTGGACTTGGTTTTTATCTCTGGTCAGTGGCGGAGTGGTCTGGATATAGGGGATATAGTTATTGAACCCCTGTCATGGTCGGACCATTCTCTCCTGAGACTGGACCTTTCGACCGCTGCACCCCACTGCAGGGAGGCGGAACCGACCAGGTGGTTCCGCCCCAGGCGCCTGATGGATCCTGATAGGTTCCAGAGGGAGCTTGGGCCAGTTCCTGAAACTCTGGCACACGACTCGGCTGAAGATCTGGTGGCTGCCTGGGATAGGACAGCCGCCGGTGCTCTGGACCGAGTCGTGCCTTTGCGGCCTCTGACCCGACGCCGAACCTGCCCGGCTCCTTGGTTTTCCGAGGAGCTGAGGGGGATGAAGCGCCGGAAAAGATGCCTAGAGAGTGGTTGGAGGGCGAGTCGCTCCGAATCCGACCGAACACTAGTTAGGTCTCATATTAAGACCTATCTAGTGGCGATAAAAGCGGCAAAGCGTAACCACTTTTCCGCTCTTATTGCATCGGCAGATAACCGCCCAGCCGCCTTGTTTAGGGTGACCCGCTCCCTCCTACATCAGGGAGCACGGGAGGACCCCTTGCAAGGGCAGGCTGAGGATTTTGCACAGTATCTGCACGATAAAATCGCTCAGATTCGGGAAGGCTTGGACTCTGACTGGGTAGATCCCGGCGGGGTGACTGAGGCTGGTCTTGAGAATGTTACCTGGGATGAGTTCGACCCTGTGACTCCTGAGGACGTGGACAGGATCCTGGGGAGGTTAAACGCAACCACATGTTTATTGGACCCGTGCCCCTCCTGGCTGGTACTGGCCACCCGGGAGGTAACACGAGGCTGGCTCCAGAGGATCATAAATGCTTCTCTGAGAGAGGGTTTCTTGCCTCCCGCCTTGAAAGAGGCGGTGGTGAGGCCCCTCCTCAAGAAGCCTTCTCTGGACCCGGCCGTTTTGGCAAACTATCGTCCGGTCTCCAACCTTCGCTTTGTTGCGAAGGTTGTGGAGAGTGTGGTTGCGCGCCAGCTCCCACAGTTCCTGGATGAAACCGTCTATCTAGATCCGTGCCAGTCCGGCTTCAGGCCTGGGTACAGCACGGAGACGGCATTGGTCGCATTGGTGGATGATCTCTGGAGGGCTCGGGACAGGGGTTGTTCCTCTGTTCTGGTCCTGTTAGACCTCTCAGCGGCTTTTGATACCATCGACCATGGTATCATGCTGCGCCGGCTGGAGGGACTGGGGGTGGGAGGCACCGTGTTGCGGTGGTTCTCCTCCTATCTCTCTGACCGGTCGCAGTCTGTGTTGGCAGGGGGGCAGAGGTCGACTTCGAGGCGCCTTGCTTGCGGGGTGCCGCAAGGGTCGGTCCTCTCGCCGCTCCTGTTCAACATTTATGTGAAGCCGCTGGGTGAGATCATCCGTGGTTTTGGGGTGCGATGCCATCTGTACGCTGATGACACTCAGCTGTACATTTCCACCCCAGACCACCCCAATGATGCCCTCGAAGTGATGTCCCAGTGTCTGGAGGCCGTGCGGGTCTGGATGGGGAGGAACAGGCTTCGGCTCAACCCTTCCAAGACCGAGTGGCTGTGGATGCCGGCGTCCCGGTATAGCCAGCTGGTGCCATCGCTGGCTATTGGGGGCGAGTCACTGACCCCCACAGAGGGGGCTCGCAACTTGGGCGTCCTCCTGGACACACGGCTGTCTTTAGAAGAGCATATGACGGCCGTGGCCAGGGGGGCTTTTTATCAGGTTCGCCTGATACGCCAGTTGCGCCCCTTTCTGGATCGGGACTCCTTGTGCACAGTCACTCATGCCTTGGTTACGTCACGCCTGGACTACTGTAACGCTCTCTACATGGGGCTCCCCCTGAGGAGCACCCGGAGGCTCCAGCTGGTGCAGAATGCGGCTGCGCGGGTGATTATGGGAGCGACGTGGCGCTCCCACGTAACACCTCTCCTGCGCGAGCTGCATTGGCTCCCGGTGGTCTTCCGGGTGCGCTTTAAGGTGTTGGTTCTCATCTTTAAAGCGCTCCATGGCTTAGGGCCAGGGTATTTGCGAGACCGCCTGCTGCTACCGATAACCTCCCACCGGCCAATACGCTCTCACAGAGAGGGCCTCCTCGGGGTGCCGTCGGTCAGGCAATGTCGGCTGGCGGCCCCCAGGGGGCGAGCCTTCTCTGTGGGGGCACCCGCCCTGTGGAATGAGCTGCCTCCTGGAATACGATTGATCCCAGACCTCCGGACCTTCCGTAAAGCCCTGAAGACGTTTTTATTTCATCAAGCCGGCCTAGCCTAAATGGTTTTTAATTGGGATTTTAAATTTTATGGATTTGGGGTTTTAAATTTGGGTAGCCAATGATTTAATTCTTTTAATTATCTTAACTTTTGCATTTGTATGTTTTTTAATCTTGGCTGTTCACCGCCCTGAGTCCCTTCCGGGAGAAGGGCGGTATACAAATTAAATTAATAAATTAATAAATAAATAAATTTGGATGGTGTTCTGATCTAGGCTTCCCAAGAGCATGAAGCAGATTCCTTGTCCTGACAAAAAAAAACCTTTTTATTAAGTTACTGTGAATTTTTCTCATTCACATCCAGCAAAGTCTTTCAAGGAGAATTTGTAGTCACAGATCTTATCTGGCTTGGAGAGCTGCCAGACCGATATCTTCAAAACTTGGCAAGGAGTCACGAACCAATTAAGTGAACTAATTGTCTCCTGCAAACTCCCCTCTCCTTTTGCTTATTTATTTATTTATTTATTTATTTATTTATTTATTTATTTATTTATTTATTTATTTATTTATTTTTTATTTATTTATTTATTTTTTATTTATTTATTTATTTATTTATTAGTCATATTTCTATGCCGCCCACTCTCCGAGGACTCTGGGCGGCTTACACCAAAGACAATATACTAAATAGCATATTGCCCCCAACAATCTGGGTCCTCATTTTACCCACCTTGGAAGGATGGAAGGCTGAGTCAACCTTGAGCCGGTGAGATTTGATCTGCTGATCTGCTGAACTAGCAGTCAGCTGAAGTAGCTGCAGTACTGCACTCTAACCACTGCGCCACCTCGACTCAATCCCTCGGCTTTATTCCCTCTGGGAGGGGCCATTCATCGTCCACCTGTGGCCTTACTCCCAAGTTGACCCTTGTTCTTTAGCTGTTCCCTTTGTCTTGCATGCACACACTGGGAACAGACTCCAGCTGTTTGTCTGCCTCACAGATGTCTGACTTCAAAGGCAGCTGATAACTGGCATACGGCCCTGGCCCCTTCTCTGCCTCCAATGCAGAGCCCTCATCAGAGCCTTCCCCAGACTCCAGGACTGGCCCATGTTCCTCCCCAACCTCCTCACTGCCCGAATCTGCTGCCAGCTCTGCTGGCAGGCCACAACAGATGGCATGATTTCTTGCCTCTTTGGAACGAGGACGCAGCAGGCAAAACAACTATGTGGATGTGACCTGTGGTCCATTTCATAAATGGATGCAACTCTTGCTGCTGTAAAGGAAATGCTGCCATCTAGGTTTTGCAGTTTCCCCTCAATAACCCAGACAAAAGAGAAGAGCTAAAATTGACAAGAGTTTCGTCAATTTCTCTTTCTCTTAGAATGGGACAGGGTATCTTTCCCTTCTTTTCTTTGCAAATGGGGTGGAGGTGAGGGATTCTTGTGGCTGCAGGGATTTTTGCTCTCTCCACCCACCTACCCATCCAATATTGTTAGAGTTAACAGAAGGCCAAACAATTATGCATCATTTTCCAACTTCTCCTGAATGCAGAGAATAAGCGTGGTGGTGTGGGGACACTAAATTACAATTAATAGTTTAACTAAATGAAACAATAGCTTTTATAATTATAGAAGTCTTCTATTTCCATGTAAGGAAATATCAGCTAGCGTACAATCCAGAATAAGTGGATACACATAACACTTAATCAAAATGAAACAAACCATACAATGCCTTAGATTCGTGTCTATTTAATCCTCCTTTAAAGCTGAATTCTGGAACTTTGGAAGAAGGTGGAATCAAATATCCACAACAGCCATAATTTTACAAAACTCATCTCATCGCTTACACTAAAACCATTTACATTTTTCTCATAGCAGAACTGCTATGAGGAGCATGTGGAAAGAGCCACAGCACCAACAAAATTACAATATGTGCTTCCTAACATCATTACATGAATGATTAATAACATATTATTAATATCGTGGCCTCTGATGCAAATACATAAATTGCATCATTTGCATGATTATAAGATGACACAAATGTCAGAATACCATCCATCTGAACATAAATAGAACCATACAGTATGTTCAATTACGCTGTCACAAATATCTAATGACATTACAAAATTGGTTTTATTTTCAATCCATTTTAAAATTAACCCTAACTAATCCTTGTCTGCAGCTATTGTTTATCACTGTTTGTCTTACTTGTGGGAAAAGTATGTTTATAAAGTCTGTGAGGTTAACATCTGATCATACTTTAACTTGTGATAGGGATCGTGAACTTCAGTTTTATGAAAGCTCAAACTTTGAACCATACCTTCAGATTAGTGGTTTGGAAGCGATACCTTTGAATCTAGATTACTGGTAAGCCAATACAAATCCCTATCATCTATCATTTATTACCACATAATAATTCTGTATTATTATATACAGTATGACACTAGATCTATTACGATGCTCTGTTTTGGCATTTGGTACTCTTATATCAGTGGTGGGTTTCAAAAATTTGCGCTACCGGTTCGGTGGGTGTGGCTAGGTGGGGGGCATGTGACTGAGTGGGCATGGCCAACTTGATGTCACTCACGCCCATGCCCACTCAGTCACATGAACCCCCCCCCCACCTAGCCATGCCCACAAGAAAAAGTAGGAAAATTTTTGGAATTTCCACCTATCTACCCCTGCCCTCCCTTTGCCAGTCATCCCCATTTCCACACCTTTAGCAGCCCCAGCCCTAGCCCTGTTTCCTCCTCCACCACCACCTCTTTGTTCGGGCTACTGACCTTCCATGGTGGCTGGTCCAGAGTCCGGAAGGCAAGCTGAAGGCAAGCTGACCGGAGTTTTTGGCAGCCCCCAGCTTTGCTGCTGCGGTGACGGCTGGCCACAGGCTGCCAAAAAGTACCAGTGGTCACAGAAAAAGCTGCTGCCATCGCTGCCATGTTCTTCACACATGAGCATCCCATTGGACTTGCAAGGCAATGGGATGCGTGTGTGCAAAGAACATGGCGGCGATGAACATGGTGGGCAGGGTGAGCGAGCGCCGACCGGAGGACCAGTTCTGGGTCATGGCCAGCCAGCCATTGCTACCGGTTTGGCGACCGTGGCCAAATTTCCGCCAACTGTTTGCGTGAACTGCTGCAAACTGGCTGAATACCACCTCTGTCTTCTACACCTCTGTTGTAGAAGGTCAGTGGTACAATACGTTTCACTGGCTATGATTCTTTCTTTTGCTCTCCTTGAGTTGGTCAGCAACCATCAGAAGACATTCTTTTAATTTCCCCATAATGTCCAAAATGTTGCTGCATTAATTGTTTGGGTGCATAGGAGGGTCCAAGAGTCATGAAGATTGGGGAAACAGATTTCCTGTGGCTGTGCTGGCATTCGGGCCACACTACCTAGCATTGGTGGAAATGATAGTTCAGTAGTATCCAGAGAGCCACAGGTCCTGCACTTATGAGATAAAGCATCATTATAGCTTATCATTAAAGCATCATTATACTGTTAAGTATGAGAACCTTTATAACAGGTCAGGACCTTAGAGGGTTAAAATGCCAATATTCCAAAAGTCCTGTTCAAAATTTCCGTGCATGATTATGCACATTAGGAGAATGATTCAGAGGACATTCTGTGAATTTTTTATGAGCCTAACAGCTCCCTGCTGGTTATAAAATCAACCTATCCTTTCTTATATTTCTTGCTCAAATTGGAAAAAAAAAAAGATAATGGTTACTTTAAGAATTGTTTTAATGAGGCAGTTCTTAAAGCATTTTTAAGCTTATATAGAAGCCTGAAGAAAAGTAGGCCAGTTTAATAAGTAGCAGAGAGGGGGTGCTGGCCTTTCATGGGGTTCAAAGCACCCCTTCTGAATCATTTTCAAAGCACGTTAGCCTTACTCTGTTCTGAGGAGAATTGTACAATGTTGGCTTATTCTCATTCATCTCTGACTTTCTCCGTTGGCAGGAAGATATGCAGCCAAGGAATTTTGTTCAGCTCAGAACTGAAAGTCTTGATTGCACTTTGCTACCCTCTGTGCAAAGCATATTCAGATGAAACTGATTACAATTTGTTTACAAATCTTCTGATGTACTGATGTCATAAGCATCAGAGCTCATATCTGTATTCTAGGCTCCTCTCTATGCCTAGATGTTTATAAGGGTTTGAAGAATGCCATCTTGTTTAGATTTCATATATACACTTGCATGATTCAGATTTCCTTGAAAACTTGTATGAAATTTATTTATGAGGGACAGGAAATTCTTCATTTTCTCCTATACTTCATTTTCAGCTACACAGATCATGATGAATGTATGATTCTTTATGGCGATGACCAGGTATGTCTTCTAAAAACACTTGCTCAGAGAAAAGAAAAGAAATGGAAATGTGATATTTATTTCTAAAGGTATAATCACAGAATTATGTCGAGTGTGAAGAGAGAAGTTAGATTAGATCCAAAGTGCTGTGTATTGCATGAATGTAAATGAAAGAATCCTGAACAAATGGTAGCCCACCTTTGATAGGAAGCTTTTTCTAATTTTCAGGAGATTCTTCCTCTTCCTGTAATTTAAATACATTATTCTGCATTCTAAAAGAAGAGCAGGTTTTTACTTTCTTCAGGCATTTGAAAAAGAGTATCATACAATATCTCTGCTGAGTTGGGTTTTTTTTTCTTACAGTTAAATACACCCAACTTCCTCAATCTCTTTTCATAAAGCTTAGTTTTTATTTCCATTTTTATTACCCTTCTTTGAACTCTGCTCCAAGTTCCCTGAAATGTGATGCCCAGAACTGAATACAGTATTCAAGGTGGGGAATAGTGAAGCAGAATATAGTGAACTGATTACTTCTTGTGATTTGGAAATATACTTCAGTAAATGCAACCATTAACTGAATAACCCACAAGTTATACAAGTAGTACTTGAGTTATGACCATAATGAAGCCTACTCAACATGGTCATAACGTGGTAGTAAAGTGGGTCAGTCATGCAGCCAACCCAATTTGACAATCCTTTTTACAACGGTCATTAAGTGAGTGCTGCAGTCATTAAGTGAACTAATTCTAAGTGATTTAATTCTTTTTAATTATCTTAACTTTTGTATTTGTATGTTTTTTTAATTTTGGCTGTTCACCGCCCTGAGTCTCTTCTGGGAGAAGGGCGGTATATAAATTAAATTAATAAATAATAAAAATAAATAAAAATAATGGTTTGCTACAGATGCAGTTTTGCAAAAAAACAGAAGTTAATGCTGGTTTGCGGCAACATTCTTATAAAACATTATCATGTGACTGTGAGATGCTCCAAACAGCCATAAATGTGGCTCAGTTGCTGAGGGCCAAAAGTACAGTCATGTGACCATGGGGGGGTGACCATTAGAACTTCAAATCCTAAATTGAAAGTATTCCCCAGGTAGGTCCACTGGGACTTCAGATGGTCTCTAAGCGACCAGTCATAAGTTGAGTACTACCTATATATGGAAAGAAGCATCCCTCCTTGTAATGTTCTGGTCTCAAATCATTAGAGTTTTAAAATCGCTTTCAAAACTTTGAATTACAAAGTGCCTCATGTCCTAAAGATGCATAATTGTGGCCTTTCAATTTGCTTTCAGAACCTGACCAGAATCTTATAATGTATAATTTTGTAATCTATAAAATAACATGAATATATATTTGTATTTTCCTTCCCTCCCTCTTGTTTTGTTATAGGGATGTGTCAATATCTTGCAGTTATATTCTGTGGGTGAGACCCTGAGGTAAGCGCTTACAAAAGTCCAAATATCAATTGAGGTAACAGGAAGCATTCAGCTGGCAATTTGTAATTCCTGCCTGGTAGAGATATGGCATCAGTTCTTTCAGATGAAATGATATAATTATCTTTTCTTGATGTCTTTCAGGACATGGAAGAAGCTGCCCAAAGTGGAAAATCTCCCTAATATAAGGCTTGAGAGTGCTATATTTTCCCCAAATGTCACTTACATCCGTTGGAAAGTTCATGGAGATTGGGTGACTCAGGTAAAAACAGAAGGGTCTTCTGATCTAGAGAGAACATGGGGTTCTATTCGCTTTTTTTTTATACTTTCAAGTCATGTTTAAGCTTCTTACAGCAATCCAAAAACACTCATATTTTTTTCCAGAAAGGCAGGAAGAGTTCATTGTTGAGACACAGTTAAACTTTGACTCTGTGTCTCATGATCCTTTTGGAGAATTGATGGGTATATTTTTCCAGGATTTTGTAATAATTAGACAGCTATGTTCTTTTTCTGTGTAACTTAATCTGTTTCATTAAGAAAAATAAAATAAAATAATAATAACATTCTCATCTCACCAGTATTTGGTTGAATAATATTCTTTTCTCTGTCTCTTTAGCTGAATTATTATGATTCCATTAAGGCAATAATTTCTGCATCAAGCCATGAGCCTACAGCCTTAGTAATAGGTAATTATATAATTCCTTATAAGTTGTTTGTAAAGTCTTCCCTTAAAGTTACTTCATTATTGATTATCAAGTTGGTGTTGTCTCTTAGTAACCATATAAATAGATTTTCTCCATAAAGATCTATCTATCCAAAAGATTTCTCCATAAACATCTGATCCTTCAAGTCTTCCACCAGTGCATCCATCATTACTGTTATCAAGTCAGTACATCTTCCTGCTGTTCAGCCTCTTCTTCTCTTTCCTTTCACTTTCCCAGCATTAGAACCTTCTCGAGAGAGAGAGGTCTGTGAGTAATGGGTCCAAAATATGATAATTTGAGTTTGTCTTTTGTCAATCAAGGCAGGGGTGGGTTCTACTTACGTTTTCATGACATCAGGGTCAGTGGGCGGGGCCTCCCGCCGGTTTTACTACTGGTTCTATAGAACTGGTGTGACCCTGTGAGATGAGTTGGACTAAGAAAGTGTGGCTGACCTGAGGTCACTCAGCTGGTTTTCATGTCTAAGGCAGGACTAGAACTCATGGTCTCCTGGTTTCCTAGCTTGGTGCTTTAACTATTAGATCAAACTAACTCTCATAATTAAAAAAAAAAAATCAATGAATATTCACTCTGTATAAGAATGTTGGAGTCTAAATTCTGCGTAGGAATCTTTTACTGAACTCTCATATCCTTCTACAGGTTGCATTATGGGTGCTACCAATGTTGAGCAACAAATGAGAGAAATAAAAGAAAATAAGAAAGATTCAAAGATGAAGAAATCACAGGAAATGCTAGGAACTCCCTCCCAGAGAGCTGAAGGGGATCAGATTATTTTTCGGGTTCATAAAGGAGTCAAAACATTTGCAGTTAGTAAAAAGAATAATGCCATAGTAACCGGCGGAATGGATCGAATTATTCGAATATGGAATCCATACATGCCTGGGTAAGATATTGCAACTATTCTTCTACTGCTCTATTATAGTTCTTAGCGAACTATTAGTTATTTTAAATGCATAAGGTGCTATTTCTATTTAGGAGATGTAGGCATGAATTAGTATGATTTGTAAAGAAAAATGTAGAACAAATGAATTCCTAATTCACAGTTAGCTTAAAAATCCTTTAAGAGATCCTTACTATAGTTATGGAAGGAGGGGATAATATTTTTCTTGTCATTATCAATGATATAAATAAATCTAAGGGTTTTTTATTATTTATTCATTATTCTTTAGATTTTCATTGGATTTCTATAGGAGCCCATGGCAAAATAGGATTTGTTATAGGGAACAAATTCAGTTCTCCATTACCTTTTCCATTCTCACTCATAACATTCTCCTACTAAGAATTTATTAGCTTCATTTACTCCTCCCTTGACTGTGAAAAATAGAAAGATATGCCACTATCGTCCAATACTGGTTTGTCTTTTGGGACCACTGAAATATAGCTGCCCCTTCAGGAAATCTTTAAAAGTATTACCTTAAGGCAGGTTTCCTAGTAATACATTTCAGAGACTTCTTGGTCTTTGAAGAGTGATTGTTTTGCATTTTTCCAATCTTTCCACAAATTAATAATATTTTTGAAGATACAATTCAAAACTGAGTCAGGTGAAATTATTTTTGTTGTATATATTTGTAAATCTACCATGTTTCCCCCGAAAATACAACCTACTCCAAAAGTAAGACCTAGCTTGATTTTTACATGTGTGCCCAATATAAGCCTTACCCCCCAAATAAGCCCTAGTTAAGACTCCGCTCACTCTGGGTTGCATGGGGTGGGGCAAGGCACATGGATAAAAATTAAACTAGGATGGAGATGGGGGTTGTGGAACTGCTCTACTTACCAAGCCTCGCACACCCCGACACCTGCGTTGCCTTGCAGGCCCACTTCATCTGCGGCTACTTGCCGCCACTCATGTGTGTTGCCCTCTGGCTTCCGTTTTGCCATCAGAGGCCTTCTGGAAATGCCTCTGCAGCTGATAAATGGGCTCCAGATTGATGCATGTGATCCAGAGCGCTGTTATCGGCTGCAGAGTGCTTTCTGAAAGGCATCTGATTGCAAAATGGACGCCAGGGGGCACTGTGTGCGTCAATCCGGAGTCTGTTTCTCAGCTGATGGCAAAATGGAGACCGGGGACAATGCACACAAGCAGTGGCAAGCGGCCAAAGAACTAGGCCGGCAGGAGGCTCCTGCTGGGCGGGGTTGTTGGTATCGCCACCGCGAGGTGAGTCATTAATTATACATCCCCCCAAAATAAGACCTGGTACCTTTTTTGGTGGCAAAAAAAATTAGACCAGGTCTTATTTTCAGGAAAACATGGATATATTTATAGCCATGATGTCCAGCTAGTTGCCAGGAGTCAAGAATGAATTGAAACATCAAAGAAATTTGTTGTTGTTGTTAGTTGCAAAGTCATGTCCGACCCATCGCGACCCCATGGACAATGTTCCTCCAGGCCTTCCTGTCCTTTACCATCCTCTGGAGTCCATTTAAGCTCATGCTGACTGCGTCAGTGACTCCAACCAGCCACTTATTATGGTTCAACTTTCATAGCCATACATTGCAACTGGGAAAACCATAGCCTTGACTATACGCACTTTTGTTGGCAGGGTGATGTCTCTGTTTTTTAGTAAGCTATCTATATTTGCCATAGATTTCCTCCCCAGGAGCAAGCGTCTTTTAATTTCTTGGCTGCAGTCCCCATCTGCAGTGATCTTGGAGCCCAGGAAAATAATCAAATAAATAAATTACCATTATTACTGGCTCATTGTAGTATATACTTCATTATGTGTTTCTAATTGGTCAAGATTTAATGTTCTCATTGAATTTCAGAAGACCCACAGGCATGCTCAAAAGTCATATGGCCCCCATTTTCTATGTCTACGTATCTGAGGAGGATAAAATATTTTCCATATCAACAGACAACACAGTTAAGGTCTGTCTTTTTCATATTTCAAATTATATATTTTTTTTTATTCTAGTTCTTTCTCTTTAATATAACACAATTCTTTCCTTGCAGATATGGGATATGGAGGATCAGACTTGCTTATTCACTGCTTGTTCAAAAAACAATGGAATTAAAGGAGAGATTACTACTTGCCATTATATATCAGGGACTCGATCACTCTGTGTTGCCACGGATACACTGGCCATTCTTCACCTAAGATTACGGTAAAGTACAAAGCAACATTATCAGAGCTCCTGATGTTTAGACAGATCCAAGAATTTCATTTATGGAAAACGAAATGTAACAAATTGCTGAAAAAATACTAGGATTTATTGAAATAGTGTGATTATTATGTTGGAAGACTTCAAGAGAATACTTGAAATGTTGTGGTATTTATTAGGATTGCACCCTTAAGCAAAATATTACAAGGAAATAACATTTTGTAAAATCTAGATGAACATTTACGGTAGTTTCAAATAATTACTAATGTGATTTTTGAATTAGCTTGTTGGAATCTATTAAAACCTGTAATTTAAGACATTGTCGTTGCTAGAGCATGTCATTATGGTGTTACTTTCTGTTTCGGGATAAGTAATTTCCAAATTTCCAATATTATATTACAATGCTGAATCAGGCTTACAGGAATTGACATTCATAAAAACTTTAATTAACATATGTGCACATATTAAACTAATACATATCAGGAGCAGAAAACCTGCAGAGGTTTCAGCAGGTTCTGACCAGTTCTGGACAACCGGTAGTGGAAATTTTGAGTAGTTCGGAGAACCGGTAGTAAAAATTCTGACTGACCCCGCCCACATCTATTCTCTGCCTCCCAAGTCCCAGCTGATTGGAAGGAAATGGGATTTTGCAGTAACCTTCCCCTGGATTGGGGACAGAATGGAGATTTTACTGTATCCTTCCCCTGCCAAGCCCGCCAAGCCACGCCCACCAAGCCATGCCACACCTACCAAGCCACACCCACAGAACCAGTAGTAAAAATTTTTGAAACCCACCACTGATCAGGAGGGTTAGGAACCATAGAGGAAAAGTGATACTCAAATATATCTAGGCACTTTTGGGAGTACCAAATTGTTTATCTAATACCAGTTTATGTTTAGATACAGGACTGACATTAATTAAACCTTAAATACAGCTTTTAGTTAATTTTTACTTCAAAAGACTTTGTTTAAAGATTTTATTTCTTTCATAATTTCAGATTCATTCGGAAAAAAACCTAATTTCAATTTAATTCTGCTGAGTGAAGAATTAGCTTCAATTAATGAAAGTAAACTACAATAAGTCTAAAAGATTACACATTCAAATATGTGTTATTATAATCTTAAATCAAAATATAACCAAAAATGTAATCAGTAGAAATGAATAAAGCAAGTCAGAATTAAGACTTCAACAATATGATACAGTTCGTTTAGATTTGATGAATGCTTGTTGGCCAAAGAATAGCCAACAAGCTATATAAATGTTTGTTTTAGTGTTCTGTTTGTCAGTTTATGTCAGAATAAAACTTATGATGTAAGAGAATATGGTCAGTCAACTTGTTCTCCTCTGTTTCACAAAGGGATAAATTTGGGGATTTGGACTTTTATTCTATTTACTTTGTAAAATTGCCAGTGGCAATGAATTGAAAAGGATACTGGTGGATGTCCAGTGATATCTGGAATGAGTTAGTTTAGATAATCTGCAGCAGAGATGGGTTTCAGCAGTTTCTGACTAGTTCTGGAGAACCAGTAGCGGAAATTGTGAGTAGTTCGGAGAACCGGTAGTAAAAATTCTGACTGGCCCTGCCCCCATCTATTCTCTGCCTCCCAAATCCCCGCTGATTGTGAGGAAATGAGGATTTTGCAATAACCTTCCCCCAGATTGGGGAGGAAATGGAGATTTTATAGTATCCTTCCCCTGGAGTGGGGTGGGAATGGAGATTTTACAGTATCCTTCCCCTGCCAGGCCCACCAAGCCACACCCACAGAACCAGTAGTAAAAATTTTTGAAACCCACCACTTATCTGCAGGTGACTGTAATTGTTTGAAAGAAATCAAATTAAATTTCTATGTGTTCAATTCACTACTCTTATAACACCTACACTTTTTTAAAAGCCAGAAAATAATAACAATTCTGAGGAAAAAATCACAGGAAAGCACTTTCTTGTGATATTTTCCCAACCTAGTACATCTGTAAGTATCAAAAGTGACTAATGAAAGAAGCCTTAGCCAAGCAAAGAGAATAGTGTGTTATCTAAAGATATTATATAAAGAATGCTACAGATTGAAACAAAAGGAGGCACAAGGGCTTAGCGGTTAAAGGCGCTGAGCTTGTCAGCTAGAAACTCTGGCTTTGAGACCTGAGGGCTATGCAACTCCCGTTCCTTGCTCCAGCTCCTGCCCCACTTAGTAGTTCGAAAGCATGCAAATGCGAGTAGATTAATAGGTACCACTTTAGTGGGAAAATAATAGCATTCCATGTGTATTGGTGTATAATCATGCTGGCCACATGACCATGGAAATTGTCTTTGGACAATGCTGGTTCCCTTGGCTAAAAAACGGAAATAAGCACCACCTCATAGAGTCAGACACAACTGGACAGAGGAAACCTTTACCTTTTCACATATTGATTATAAAAATAATTTTACAATGGCTAGACGTTATATTTATGTTTGTTTCCTGAATTTTTTTAAAAAAAAACCTAATTATGTGATTTAATAATTCTTAAATATAGGAAAGTTTTAATGTGTCTTATTTTTATCTGCGGTTTTAGAAGATTGATACAGAAGGCAAGACAGGGACATGTATCTTTCCTTGCAGATATGGGATATGGAGGATCAGATATATTTTGGTGAATATAGAGAAATGCAGACTTCACTTCCTACTATTTTGTTAATTTTATAGATACATAAAGTTTATCTTGCCACTAAGACTGAAGAATAGAATAGAATAGAATAGAATAGAATAGAATAGAATAGAATAGAATAGAATAGAATAGAATAGAACAGAACAGAACAGAACAGAACAGAACAGAACAGAACAGAACAGAATAGAATTCTTTATTGGCCAAGTGTGATTGGATACACAAGGATTTTGTCTTTGGTGCATAAGCTCCCAGTGTACACACATACAACTTTATTTAGAGATACTAAATTCAACAAAACATACTTATTAAGATTAGTATATTAATAAATTTGTTTGGACAGTTATTCAGGAAAAATATGATAAAAAATTGGGCTTTGGATTCATTTTTGAATAGTTGGAATGCTATTGATTTGTATAGGTTTGATGTACTGTAATGGTAGCTTTTCTTTTTAATTATAGAATAATGCATTTATTTATATTTTGCTAATTAAGCAATAGTGGCAAGAGAAATAACATTTTAATTTATTGATAATTTGATTCTGTTGTTGTCTCTAAAGTAGATCAGCTCCAGATCTTTATATAGTAACTTCCCATAAAAAACCAGTTTTGTGCTGCAAATTCAATAAAGTGTTCAGGCATGTTGTGAGCTGCTCTGAAGATTCTGTAAGTGAAATGATAATTATAAAATTCTCTTCAGTTTTGCATGTAATTATATAATCAATCTATTTACAGTCTTCAGAATTCTGAGTTTCTTTAGTATTAGATATGAAGTGAGTTGTGATTCGAGATTGAGCCTTCTCAAAATTCCTTGCCAAAAGGCATGGTAAAAATGGCTTTTTAAATTTTTTTTACATATTAATGGAACCATAATTTTAACCTAAGACTGTCTACTGTTGACCTTACCCCATTCCTAAGAGATCTGTATGGGGCGTGCATAAGCACACCAGCGTGCCTACTGTCCCTGTCCTACTGTCCCCATTTATTCATGTCCATTTCATGTATTCATAATAATGTTTATACTTACATCTGTTATCTTATACATGCTTGACAAATAAATAAATAGAAAGAAAGAAAGAAAGAAAGAAAGAAAGAAAGAAAGAAAGAAAGAAAGAAAGAAAGAAAGAAAGAAAGAAAGCAGTTATCTCTAGTTACTCTTAGTGTGTCTATATGCCTTTCAGGATCAGAAGCAAATGCTTTTAAATAAGTACTTAAAAAGACAAGCTGTCATACATGTGCTTCCAAAAACATTCGCTTATTGTGTGCTATGTATCAGTGTTTCTCAACTTCATCAATTTTAAAAGTCACTTTGTGAGAGATGTGCAGTTGTAAAACTGTGAGAAATTATTTGTGGAATAGCCAGCATGCTGAAGTGCACTTCTATTAAAGATGCACAGGCTGAGAAACCTTGTTTTAAATACACTCTATGTTATTATGAAGTAGCCTCCCACAAAACAAGTCTTCCTGTGTATTTGTTTTAGATTGCAGTTTTATAGCCAATCATATATATTTCTTCATTTTCTTCCTCCTCCTCTTCTTCCTCCTCCTTTGTCATCAATAAGGCTTACTCTCAGATAATCTAGATACATTAGGCTGCTGCTTAAAACCAAGCAATTTAAAAATAACCTAAAACTAAGGAGGATTTTCCTAACAGTAAGAACAATTAACCAATAGAATGGCTTGCCTTCAGAAGTTGTGGGTGCTTTTAAAAAAAGACTGGAAAGCCATTTGTCTGAAGTGGTATAAGGTCTCCTGCCTGAGCAGGAGGTTGGACTACCAAGGTCCCTTCCTTCTATTCCTATTCCTATTCCTATTCCTATTCCTATTCCTATTCCTATTCCTATTCCTATTCCCACTCCCATTCCTTATTCCTATTCTTTCTATATTTTACAGTGCAAACTTCTGCCTATCTACTCTTATTGAAGTCAATAAAACTTAATCATCAATAAATTAGCCTCAAATCACAGGTGACAAGTTTGTCTCAACAAACTTGTTTATTAAATTAGTTTGCTTCCCATCTTGCTGCAAGGCGACTCTTGTGTCCAGTATATTTTAAAAACTGCTCGGTGCACTTTAATTTCCGAACAAAGTTTCTATACTGTCTGCTACATCTCTTTGGCTACATTCTAAAACAGAAAGAAAACAAATAAGTTGTGTTATTAAATGAGGGAGAGGAATGCCTGATAAAACCAAGGGATCATATAGAAATCACATGGCCATGAGTTGTAATGCTTATAAACACAAGTAATATTACTCTAGGGAAGTATGGCTGCTTTATGTGAAAAAGGTCTCAATTCCAATATCCACCACCTCCTGGCTAGGAAATAAGACTTCTTTGGAACCCTGGAGAGTCAGTGATGTTAACCACATTGGCCTAATAGATCATCAATAGTGTGACTTGTATAAGGCAACTATACATGTTTTTACATACATTTGATCTTGGTTGTTGCCAAAGAAAAAGGATCTGTTTGCTAGAGCTGTGTGGGCTTCAAACATAATTCAGAAGAAAATCATGTGTAAGCAGAAATATCCTGTCCCTCTGCTCTTCATTAAAGAAGCTCCATATCCTGGATCTTACAAGATGACAATTTAATCAATGGGATTTGGAGCATGCCAATTCTGTCAGATTGTGTGGGGTGGAAAGAAAAGATGAAGGATAGGCTGTTCTTAGATGACTAGACTTGTGCCATGAGGGGTTTTATAGGTGACAACCAGTACTTTGAATTGCATCCAAAAATCCACTGTCAGAGCAGCTTGTAGAATAGATTTCTCTGTGAGATACTTGTTTTAGGATCATGGCAGTAGTGTTTCAATATCTGTCCCTTTTTTTCTTCTTTTAAGGTGGTCAAGGTATGGGATTTCGAAAGCGGAAAGCCTGTATTTGAATTTGGCAATGCTCATGGTGATTCTGCAATTACATGCCTCACATTTGATTTTAGTGGAAGAAGGTACATTTGGAGAGTTTCAGTGTGTGAGAAGGGTTGTGATATTTTTTTTACACATTGCTAAAGAAATAATTAGGCATTGCAATCATGTTTCAGACTCATTACTGGAGGAAAAGATGGCTGCTTGAAAATATGGAATTATAATAATGGACAGTGTCTTCACACTTTGAAAAAGGGTAAGCAGAACGTTGATTGAATTATCTAAACATTCATTTCAAGAAGGGGAAAATTACGAGTCCAGCATTATGTTTTTCTTCTGTACAGAAGACAGATATGATGAAGTTCGTGACTGTGCTTATGCGGAGATCAACAAAAATGAGTAAGTGTTATCCACATTTGTCATAATGTGTGACATTTTAGTGTAGGAAAGGCTAATGAAAACAATGTGGTGTTGTTGTTTTTTTGTTTTGTTTTGTTTTTGTGGGGCAGGTTCATAGAAACAGGCCTCTTTCTTCTTGAAAAAATAAGCTTCAATCCATCACATTGTTTTGGCAGATGACATTGGAAAAGATCTCATACATTTCCCTCATGTTAGGGATCTATCTGAGTCTTCAGGTTCAGAAAAATAGGTATTTTGATTGTTGAGGTATTTTATTACATTCAAGGATATAGAGTAGTGCTGGAGAGGGGAATAAATAGCTTGGCTTGCTCTTGTCTTTAGCAGTTAAATATGCAGAAATAAGCATGTAAAACTTAATGGCATGAAGGTACAGTTTCATACATACAAAATCCTTTTAAAAGAATTCAATGGTCATTCAGAAGCTGATATATATTGAAGACAGAGTTACAGAATTAAGATGAATGCCTGATTATTAAAACTTGGGGGGAAATCTAATAAACAAAACCTCTTACAATAATGAAGAATGAATGAAAATTTTGAGAGTGTACTGCTTAAAATACAAACTCCATTCTGCAGTGTGACAGCTATAGTCTGAACTGGAGAAAAAAGATCTTTTTAGCTCAGCTCAGCTGAAAGTGAATGAACTCCTTGAAAAATTAGTGACAACTGAAGATTACACCTATATTTAAAATGAATAATAAATCATTCAACTCACTGACAGTTTAATAGCGTAATTTATATAAGAGGGATAGTGGAATATAGCTGGCCCTAGCAGCTAGACTCTTAACTGCTGCTGCATAGCAGAAAGACTATAATAATTCAAATTTTGGTAAACATTAATTGCTTTTGCAGGTATATCATAGGTGTGGGATGGGACAGAAGAATAAATTTGTTTTATGTAAGTAACACATTTCTATACAAAAAATGGTATCACTCTTAATTGATTGTCGAAATTGTTGTGCCAAAGTACCCTCGTACATAAATAATGGCCTTGTAGTGAGAACACTTTCCATTTTAGTGTAGGAACTGGCTCTATTGGCCCATGATTTTAAGTGGCCAAAATTGCATTACTTAGTTAATTATGGTCCCCAAAAGTTGGTGTTCTGCTTTCACTGTAGTGCCTCTACACTGCTAGTAGCAAATTCAAGAATAGATCAGCAAGAAAATCCGAGAATTCTGTTAGCTACTACCTGAATCTATGGGCAAATACCACTTATTATTCACAGTGGTCAATCCACATGTAGCAATGAAAAGGCCCTTCCACTTTGTACACAAGATGTAACCAGATGGATGTATGGATTGATATGTGTTGTATACACATTTCCCAAAATTTGAACTTGATTCCTAGTAATTATATGGGCATATCAATGAGGTTTTCTTAGCAGCAGTATGTTATGCTTTCTTTTGGATTCTTTCTCTATTAACAATCACAGTGGTATATTGTGTGAAATGTGGCTTCTAGGCTAATAAAGATTCATGAGTCTATTAATAATCAGTTGCAAACTTCCCCTTTATCAGCTATGAGAAAGAAAATCAGAAAGCTTCCATTATAATACATCTAAATATATGTTGTCTCCAGGGGTGAAATGCTCCCGGATCGGACCGGATCGCCAGATCCGTAGCGATCTTGGCCGGTGGTTTGGCAATTCAGTAGTGATGGTGGAGCAAAGCTCCGCCCACCCACCTGGGTGTCATTACTTCCTGGTTTTAACGTGTTTTATGCACAGAAAGTCTGCGCGCGGTCATGCGCTTCTGAACCGGTAAGGAAGGTAAGTAGATTTCACCCCTGGTTGTCTCTAAATTGAAAAGACTGGTTTTAAATCAGGTAGTTGCCAAACAGCCTGACAATTCCATGCAAACAGATTTCAAATTCTTTTAAAGGCTGTTAGCTGCTATTAGGGCCCTGTTAATGGCAAGAGAATCACAGCTTAAGTGGACAGAAGGGTATGAATACGGAGGATGTAAGGATGGAGTTGCATTCAACAGATGGGATTGTGAAGCATGAGAAGATGAAAGTCAAGACTTCTCTCTGTATGTAGAGAGAAACAAGAAACAAGAAACAAGAATTGCAATAGGACTGGATATAAATTCTAGATTGGTTTCTTACACCCAGAGATTGTTTTGTTATGGCTACTCTTCTAAAACTGTAATAAAGGTTTACTTGTAGCCATGTTTGTCCAACTCTCTGGGGCTTTGTACCTAATTTGTAATTGTGCTTTGAATGACCAACACACTTTAAATTCAGTTTAATGTCAGAATTGGATAACTGTTTAGGAAAAGTGTAAAATAAAATGGCAGCATTGTAAGGCTTCAGTGGGAGGATGGATTGCAGTACAAACGTCAAGGGAAGCCACAATCTACTCATAGGAACAAATGCTGGTAACTTATTGAATGCACAACTCAGATGAGAAATAGGCAAATCAGATTTGGGTAACTTTAATGGAATAATAGAATTGGAGCTAAATTTTATTTTTGTATGTCTGGAAATGCAAAGTTCATGTTGAGATTATAAATGATTATCTTAGATATAATTTTATTTGGATATTTTCTGTTATAGGATTCCACAGATGATTTCTATCATATTAAGAAACCTCAGCCCCACTGGCAGGATGACATAGTAAGAAATGTTTGGCATATAAAGTGCTATATAAGCAGTTTGGGATCAGCAGCTTGATTACATTTGGGGAGTTGGATAATATAAGAGTGGAGATAAATCTCTGATCTGATCCATCTTTGTGGATTGGTACTGCTGAATAAACTTGAAAGACTTACTTTGTACTTTCCCTAGGAATATATCACATGAGCTAGCTCCAGATAAATTCACAAATCACCCTTTTGCTTAAAAGAAGAACAAAGCATAAATAAATCAGAGAGAGGGAGAGAGGGACCCTCATCTATATCTTGTTAACTGGAAGCATTATACTGGTGAATCAGATGAGGCCTACAAGTTGAAACTTTCCACCTCCAAATAGATGATCTGTAAATCCTGGAAACAACACATGACCAATTTGTCTTCTTGACTCATCAGATGTGGATAATCTCTTTTTCTGATGACTTCCAATAAGATAAAATAAGTCACATGGTACTTTCTTGTGGCCAGTGTGACTGAGGCCATCCATAAAGAGCCCTGGTGGCGCAGCAGACTAAAGCACTGTTATTAACATCAGCTGCCTGCAATTACTGTAAGTTCAAATCTCACCAGGCTCAAGGTTGACTCAGCCTTCCATCCTTTTTAAAGTAGGTAAAATGAGGACCCGGATTGTGGGGGCAATAAGCTGACTTTGTATAAAATATACAAAAATATGAAGGCTATTGCTTAATGCATTGTAAGCCGCCCTGAGTCTCCGGAGAAGGGCGGCATTTAAATCAAATCAAAAACAAAAAAAGTAAATGAACATGGCAGTATCCAAAAATATAGGCTTATTTTTTTCATAAAAGTCAGCCTATTAACTTTATTTTATAAAGTATATTTATTTCCAGGGTATACGTAGTGGCCATGCTGAAAGTTGTAGACTTTGCAACTTATGAGAGCTTATACTTATGAAGTTATACTGAATTGTGTAATTTCATCTACCTGTTGGTTTGCATATTGTGTAAAATCAGGGGTGAAATCCAGCAGGTTCTGACAGGTTCTGGAGAACCGGTAGCAGAAATTTTGAGTAGTTTGGAGAACCAGCAAATACCACCTCTGGCTGGCCCCAGGAGTGGGGAGGGAATGGGAATTTTGCAGAATCCTTTCTCTGTAGTGGGGTGGGAATGGAGATTTTGCAGTATCCTTCCCTGCCACACCCACCAAGCCACACCACACCACGCCCACCAAGCAACGCCCATAGAACCGGTAGTAAAAAAATTTGGATTTCACCACTGTGTAAAATACAATCGAAACCAAAACACAAACAACTCGAATTAGTCTTGTTCACTTTTTTCTTACTTTTTTTCTTACCTTTTTTTCCCCCTTATCCAGAACTGGGGACACAAAGAAGACATTCTCTGTGTTGCTCAGTGTCCCCCTAATCTTCTTGCAACATCCAGTTATGATGGTGAAATTATTGTTTGGAATATGGTCTCAGGTCACATAGACCATAGATTCTACATTCCAATGACCACAGCTGCCTCTGTTCATTCTCAGAGTAAGTTTACTAATAAAAAAAAAAGACTGTAGAATATAATTCTCACATTGCCATGAATGATTCTTTATGAATCATTGCATATGGAATTGCATAGAAATGGAAAATACCGGGGAAATTCACAGTTGAAGCCTAGCCCATGTTTGGGCTAGTTAAAACAACTCAGTGTTTTACCACACTAGGAATAGTTAAGTCAGCCCATTAATTTTGTTGATGTTATTTTAATATATATGTCACCTCCTGATTTCCAGATGGGTGGGCAGGAAATGATCTTTATTTGGCATAAGTCCTTAAACTATTTAATTAATGTATCTCAGTCATGTGTTCAACACAGCTCTTTTGACTAACATTAGAAACAGATTTCTGCTGGAACTTGGTCTACAGCTCAGATCTTTGAAATAAGAACATTAAAATAAGATCTCTATGCATTTATTTCATTCAGAAGTGGTTTTATCTGTTGTAGTAAGCTCTTCGGGCACGGCTTACACAATTAAGAAGGATAGGTCACATTCACAAGCAAAAGACACAGATAAAATAGAAGGCAATAGATCAGGGTGGGGGAGGCTAAAATTTAGCAGATTAAAGCTACAAACCTTTCTAAAAAGTTTGATCCCAAAAAAATCTCTTCCAAATATACAATTCAGATAAAATTAAATTAAGTGTATTTGTAGCAGATATATACACTTACAGTTGTAGTCTTAAAAAGTATATAACATTCCCAGATCACGGGGCCTTTTATTTACTTATGCTAAAATTTAATCATAGAAATTAAATTTTTAACTTTAATAATATGGATATTTGACTGCATTCACATATTGTGCCAAGTCTTGGTTAATTTAATTATGACTTAATTGGCAAACTATAAATGTCTGGATGCAAAGTCAAGCCAAACAAATTTCATAATAATATATTAGGATGAATGCAGTTGGGCTATTACAGTGATGATATGTTTTTCTTTCCCCACCAGTTGATGTGACACGGATAATTTTTCTAAAGACTCGTGCTGTGAAATTTGATTCAACTACTGCATCTCTGGTTTCCAATGGGCCACAAGGTAGGATTAATAGATGATATAAATAATTAACAAAACAACCATAGTGATAACTTAATTGATGAGCCCAATTTGGAGATAAATTCTATTTCAATTAATTTTGCTTATGTTTTTACAGACTAGATAAGGAAATGATACTTCGATGTCAGGAACCTTGTTTCCGCTTGTCACAGCATCATCAATCATGCTAAAAACATGGAAAGATAAAGCAATGAGATTAGAAATCCTAGAGAGAGTCCTAGCAATCTTAAACTTTATATAATCAAGTCTATACGCACTGTAGTTTTATAAATTTGCCTTCAGGTTATTCAGTTACAGTTAATACAGAAGTATGCTTGTTTAAATGTTACCAAATATTTCATCTTGTGTCTTTATGATTCCCCCCCCCCGCCACCCACCGCCCCTCAGGTTTTTTGCATTTCTGGAGCCTGTTTTCAGAGGATCCACTCATAGCAAGTTTTCAACCAGTAAGTTTAATTGGTAAAATTAATGGCTGTAAAAGTTAGAAAGAAAACTAGTTTGCTGTAGAGATTAAAGCTAGAAACTGGGAGACTCTGAGTTCTAGATTAGCTGACCTTGGGCCAGTCACTTTCTCTTAGCCCTAGGAAGAAGGCAATGCCAACCCCTTTCCAAAAACCTCTTCAGAAAACTGCTGGGATTTATTCAGACAGCTGCCAGGAGTCAAGATTGACTTGAAGGCAATCATCATAATCATAATCATATACTAAATCTAGTTTAAATATCTGTCTGATTATGTGATGAATTATAAACAGATCTTCAGCATGAATACTGGTAAATTTGTAGTCCTGTTTCACTGATTGAAGTTTAAGATCATCATCGCATGAAGTACCAGTACTCATTCTGTTAAATCTTTATGAATGCAAGATTTTACATTGTCTTGTGGTATAACGCAGAGATGGCCACTACAATATGGATGTTATTGGAGTTGCTTAAGGAATTCAATCTCCCTGAAATTTAATGTGAGCAGATAGCTGATGAGAAATTCCTGGACTAACATGCAAATCAGAATCTCATTCTTTGGAATTTATACTTCTCCTTATACTGTATAGTCATGCAGTCATGCAATTTTCAAAACAGTGCATAATTTTACGGTGTACGACTGTATACTCCAGTCTAGGGGGAAATCCCTGATCAGCAGCATTGCTATGACTGCAGATGATTCGTATATGTATGCAGCTGATGAAGATGGTTATGTATATGTCCATGACATCCAAAATTATGCCCTTCAGGATACAAAAGAAGAAACACCAAAATGTATGTGTATATGTATATTACAGCTTTTTATCTAGAACTGGAAGAACGAATTTTAAAAAATTAATCTAGAGTGCATTATTTTAAAAAGTTGAATTGGTCCAGATATCGCTCACAGAGTGGTATTCCTAGACTGTATGGTTTAATTTTGTAAAAAGGCAATATTCTTCAATACGGCTGGTGAAATAATCACTTAAAATGTAAAATCAAGAGCTGATTATATTTTTGTATGTAGTATTCCTATTTAATGATTGCAATAGACAAGAAACAACAGAGAAAATATTATATTTATAAAAGCTGTAAGAGGCAAGTTTGGATGGAGTATTTAAGTGACTATTCTGTAATCTTTCTTTTAAAGACATATTACTCTCGCTCTGCATGCCACCCTCCTAAAATAATTACTTAAGTCAGTTGTTTCTTAACAGGGCATATATGTTGCTCAAATCATGCTTTGTGTAAATGATGGACATAGAAAAGAGACCTAGTCTTTTTTATTCTAGCAGATAAAGACACCCCTACCTGTATTTTGAGGGACATGAATTTGGAATCTTCCTGAAAGCTAAAATGCAGGAAAAACGAGTCTGTTTATTTTCTTTCAGTCCTTGTTATGGAATTATTTTTATCTCACCTCCAAGCCTGAAGTAAACTTTGAATGGTGGGTGTTTATGGGGGCAAGCAGTGGTGGATTTCACTTACCTTTGCTACTGGTTTGCTCGTGCATGCGCAGAGCATATTTGATGATATCCAGGCAGGTGGGCAGAGCCCCCCGCTGCTGCTACTACCGGTTCGCCCAAACCGGGGCAAACCAGTAGCAACCCACCACTGGGGGCAAGGGAAAGTGGGTGTTATATAGACTGGAAGAATATTGGAGCCCACAAAATTTCCATTGATTTTTTTTTCCTGTTCTGAATGCTAGTGCGTATATACTATGGAAGTTATAAGAAAAGCAGAGCAAGGTGCTCCAAATTACAATCCCCCTATAACCTCATGCTCCAATCCTGGACTCAGATATTTTCAGAGACTACAGTCCTAAGGTCTCACGTATTATATGTTTAAATATAAGACATTAATATATATATATATATATATATATATATATATATAGAGAAATATATAAATATATATATATAAATTGTAGTGTTTTTCTCTATTAATATAATTCTGAACAGTCCATGAATAAACTGATATTTTTCTTTTTTCTTGCTTCAGATGTGAACCATTGGCGAGCTCATTTAGGTCTGGTTCTAACGTAAGTATGATCTTAACCATTACAAAAGGATAATTTATGCTTATATAGTAGGTCTGATTCTTTTCTTTCAATCCACAGGTTAGAAGTTATAGATGAAGATAATATCCTTTTATCCTGTTCTATTGATTGTACAATTCGTTTGTGGAGTCTGAATGGAGAGTACATTGGTAAATCAATACGTTTGTAAAGCATGAGCATAATGCGATACCTTAAATGTTAGTAAACATTTAGAAGAAGGAAAATTGGATAGTTGTAGTAACAGAGTTGACTTAAATATATATCTTTCTGTTAATCTTTATAATGCAATGGAAAACCATGACACAATTTTATTGCCTGACTTTGTGGCACTTTAAATAAATCATCAAATAAGAGTTTTATCAGATAAATGAGAATGATTTACATTACAATATAAGATAAGATATAATTTAGTATAATTGAAGATGTAGTGGATAGCAGGGTTCCAATAACAGTCCATACGAAATCAAAACGCCAAGATTCCTCAATCTATACTTCCTCAAAGTATAGATTTATTAGGCATGTTATATTGGCACAGCTGGTGAAACCCCAAATCTGAAGTCCCCCAGGTTTTCCCCACCCAGTTCAAAATCCAAAGTTCTTCCTCCTATCACACACAATCATCACATGCCCCAATCAGATCTCTCTCTCCATCCCGGATGCCTCCAATCCACGCCCCTCCAGGTGCTGGTGAGTGTCCTTGGTTCCCAGACGGAAGAATGTTATTTTGGCTACATATTCCCTCAGCTATCTCTACTCCCCCCTCCCTTTCTCACAGCTTCATCCAGGCTCACTGTGGCAACCCTGAAGATGTTCAAAGATGGCTCCAGGGTTGACAGGGTAGGGTTGTTGTTGTTGTTGTTTGCAGTAGCAGAATAACACTGCTGCTTCTTCTTTTTTTCATATGCACACAACAGTCTGCACTTTTTAATCATCCTCCCTTTCTTCCTTTGTATAATCCTTTTGGAGAAGGGAAGAGGAAGGAAAGAAAGAGAAAAGTCGAAAGCATATAAAAATAAAAATTTAGATATTATTTTGTTGCAGCTACCTTGTTAGTGTGATGAATTATTTGATTTTGAACCCAGTGAACTGTCGGCTGTTTTTTATTTATTTTTATCAGTGGACATAATATAATGGACTTGATACAGATTTAATTGTACTAATACATAATTGCTCATAATAAAGCAACTTAATCAATTGGTCTCAGTCCTATTAGTATCGATGAGAACTACATGCAATTAGCCTTGAATTTTTGCTATTTGAAAAAGAAAATCCTTCTGCAAGAAAAAGTTTCTGTCAGGGTTCCAAGTAACACACCCAACCAAGTAAGACTCTGAGGCAGGCAGTTCCTTAGCTCCGCTTATTGGGGAGGAGAGTTTCTTTCTATGGAAGACACATCTTGTTTAGAGCTACAGATTTGGGCTACAAAACTCTGCCCATTAAGGATAGCAAAGAGTTACAGTTCTCTATATCTATTTGCTGCTATCTAATTAGGGGTGGTTTCCAAATTTTTTTACTACCGGTTCTGTGGGCGTGGCTTATTTTGTGGGCATGGCTTAGTGGGGGGTAATGTGACTGGGTGTGCATGGCCAATTTTTTTTTTTTTTTTACTTTTAAAAGCATTTTTTCTACAACCTTAAGAGGTTGCAGTAAAAAATGCTTTTAGAAGCCTCTGACGATCAGGCAACTCAGCTGGGATCTCCAGAGGCTTTTAAAGGCATTTTTTTCCTACAACCTCTTCAGCTGAAGAGGTTGTAGAAAAAATGCTTTTAAAAGCTTCTGTCAATCCCAGCTGAGCTGCGCGATCATCAGAAGCTTTCTTTTTTTACTTTTAAAAGCATTTTTTTGGCTGAAGAGGTTGTAGAAAAAATGCTTTTAAAAGTTAAAAAAAAAAGCCTCTGATGAGGTGGGCAGGGTAAGCGAGTGGTGACGGGCTAGGGACCGGTTCGGGGGTGTGGCTAGCCACTGTTATTACCGGTTCTCTAAACTACTACAAATTTGTACTATCAGTTCTTGCGAACCGGTGCGAACCGGGAGCAACCCACCACTGTATCTAATGGTTATTTAGATTTTAGCAATCCAGCAACAACAGCCCTAACATTATTCAGTTTAATGTTATTGCCTTTATAATATCTTCCATGCATATTTTCACTGTAATCCTTTATGCCTTGTCAACCCTAAATTCCACTGATTTAAAGTGTGCTACCATGTGAGTAGCCTTACATGAATCCCTGGAGCACTATTACTTCAACTATAATAGACTCCAGTTTGAAAGAAATATCTATGCACAATGTATTTCTATATGCACTGATGATGTTGCTTAGTCGGGTAGAGAGACATCTGCAAGTAAGCGACCAAGCTCAGAGTCTCCATAATTAAACCCTGAGCTTCATATATTCTCTTCTATTGAATTATATGTTCCTATCAAGTTTGCACATGTTAACAAAAAGCAAGAATTCCGTGGCCTCATGGCAATAATAGTTATGCACACATACTGAATATAATTAGCAACATCCAATCTACACCTAAGTTTGACTGGGCTCACACAATGTGTTTCATTCTTTAATGTGGCTTATTGACTAAACAAATAGCTGGATTTGTATATTACAAACAATAGTTAGGTTCACAAAACACATTAAGCCAAAATCATGCAACCATAAATTAGCTTTGCGAACGTAATCTTTGCCATGCGTAGACCAAATTATGGGAAATAATGCTATTGCTTTTAATGCATCTAATTGAATTCACATCCAGCTTATTGTTAAAAATGATCTTGTAATATAAGCTTTGTTCCCTTGGTCTGTAATGAAAGAGTGGAATATCAGATATGAATAATATATTAGCAGTATTTCCAGCCCCTTTTTTCTGTTTGAGCAATATATAATATGTCACGTTATAATAGCATTATACAGTAGTGGCCAAAATTGTGGAAATCTTTTGGGAAAAGTGTATTTTCTAAAACTAGCTAATAACATTACTTTTTTTTTTTTGATAGTACCATAAAATTATATATCAATGGAAAGATAATTTAATCAAGAATGTAATGCAATAACTTTTATGAAGGATTTGCTATTAGAATAGCAGTTTCAGTATAAAGAAGAAAAGTAAAACACGTAGAAAAAACGAGATATACAAAAATTATCACCATAGAAAAAATGAGATATACAAAAATTATCACGTCAGTTAATAGTTGGGTAACCTTTAGCATGAATTACAGCCTTACAATGTCTTCCCATGGAGTGAACCAGTTCTGCAGCTGTAATAATGTGAAACCAAGATTGAATGATTGCCTCTATTAACTGGGTTTTATTGCTGGATTGCTTCTGACTAACAAGTTTCTTTAGTCGACTCCATAGATTTTCAATTGGCTATTCCCAGGCATTTCCAGCAGTGGAATATGATTATCTTGAAACTCCAAAAAAAAAAAAAAAAGTGGTGTTATTAGCCATCAAATCTCAAAAATACACTTTTCCCAAAAGGTTTCCACAATTTTGGCCACTATTATATAATAATATGTTTGTTTTTCTTCTAAACTATTTTCACAGAATAGTCCTCCTTATTAAACCCTGGGCATAGCAATACATTATTCTCTAGGAATGCAAAAGTAGATTCTTGAGTTAGAGATGAAGCTAATGTTAAGTCTTGCAGATGTGAAATCTCTTATAATGGTAAAGAAATTCTTATAATGGCAAAGTATCTGTGAATCTAACTGTATTTGTATATTAGCTCCCACATTTTTTTTTTGTCCTGCATCTCTCCCACTAATGGATAATTAACTCTTGGGACGGGGGTTCCTTTATCAGCATTGAACTTTGAAGGCACCTACCGCCTGTTTTACTAATTCTTGTCTGGCCTCAGATTCTTCATATTTGCTAGTTTCAGCATTACACTTTATTTTCTTCTTCCTTTCATAGGAACCTTTGGCCAGGAAGAACCTTGGGAAATTTTTAACACATCCTCCTGGAAACATCCTATGGTCCCTTATGAGATTTTGATAGATCCACAGAGTATGCCCATACATCCTATGCTGGAAGACACTTCCTCTGATATGCAGATCATCAGTCAAGATGAGAATAAAAATCCTTCCAAGGTTTAATTATGTTAACTATAAGCTTACTCAGACTATGCTTTGGTGCAGCTTGCAGGAAAAATTTAAACTATACTGGGATGTAATAGGGTCAGTGTGGGAAGACTTCCTGTCACAGAATAACCAGATCAATTTGTGATTTATTTGGTTCTTAAATTCAGTCCTTTGTATCCTTCCTACCACTATGCCTCTTACTCTAGTGCAGTGATGGCTAATCTTTTCCGGACCGAGTGCCCAAAGCGCGCCCCTGAACCTCCAAAATACAATGCGCACGCAGCTCCATGCATGTGCCCTGCCCCTGTGCATGTGTGTGCACCCCCACATATGCCCCCGTGCATGTATGCATAGCCCCCACATGTACCCCACCCCACATACATTCCATCCCTGGTGCATGCGCACATGGCCCTCCTCATGTGCCCCATCCCCTGTACATGTACACGTATGCCCCCGCATGTGCCCACATGCCCCCACATGCCCCTATCTCCCATGCATGCATGCGTGCCCCCCTGCACACACTCCACCCCCGCACATGCGCAGCAGAGACCCGAAGACCAGCTGGCTGGCAGAAGGCATGCGCATATGCACAGAGGAGCTGAACTGGGGCGATGGCTCGCATGCCATCAGAGAGGACGCTGCTTGCCACCTCTGGCACGGGTGCCATAGGTTCACTATCACTATAGGATTTTATTATAAGGCTGAGTTTCAACTTCAAATTTCAATTTCTAGTAAATCTTTATAGTGTATATTGAAAGAAGCCACTTTGGGAATAATAGCAATGTTTCTTCCAGTTCTTAATAAAATAAATGATTATCAAAGTTATAGGTTGTAAATCATGCTTAAAACCAATGATAGCACTCACTATCATACAGACCCTGAATCATCTACATATAGTCCTTGACTTACAACAATTCATTAGGTGACAATTTAAAATTACAACGTCATTGAAAAAAAGTGACTTATGACCATTTTTCACATGGCCGTTGCAGCATCCACGTGGTCACATGATCAAAATTCGGATGCTTGGCAACTGGTTCATATTTATGACGGTTGCAGTGTCCCAGGGTCATGCGATCAACTTTTGTGACCCGGCAAGCAAAATCAATGGGGAAGCCAGATTCACTTAACAATTGTGTTACTAAACAGTTGCAGTAATTCACTTAACAACTGTGGTAAGAAAGGTCATAAAATGAGGCAGAATTCACTTAACTATCTCACTTAGCAACAGAAATGTTGGGCTCAATTGTGGTTGTAATTTGAGGATTACCTATAGTCAACAGGTGTTAAATGTAACCTTTCAGCAGCATATGAATAATAATACACAAATTCTCCTGTGAAGGCAAGAAAGTAATCCTGATAATAAGATATCATGTGTATCCTGCTGAAACAACTACCTGTGCATATTTTTGTAACAACTATGCATAGAAGTAGAACCTAGGGATCAGTATACCTATATAGCGATTAGAAAATTAGAATGTTTTCTATCCTTGTTTTGGTCTTTTGTCATCTGACATAATTTGCTGAACATCTTTTCAAGAGTTCTGTAATGCATATTATGATAGCATCAATTCTGATTGCGGTGACAATGCTAACATTAGCTGTCTTTATACTTTCATCAGAAAGCTACTTGTAATCCACACTCATCACAAGTTACTGTTACCGATGAGGATATTGAAGAAGAAATTAACAAGAGGCTTTACTCACAAGCTTCAAGCAGGCGGTAAGAAGCTGCGGTTAACAAATGAATGGATGCATTTTCAGAGTGTTGTTTTTCTACCTGCAATTTCCTTTCCTTTTTTTTTTTTTAGGATGAAGTATGAGAGATCCAAGCTTTCAAACAGATGGATTAAACACAGGGGACCAAGCATCTATCATGCCATTGACTATTATGAAATTGACAATTTACCAGGAAACTGTGAGAAACCTGACTTGTCTGTCCTTGGAGTAGACATATTCAGTGCTAATTATCAAGGAGCAACAGAGCAGTAATACTGTATACTAAAACACTTCAGTAACTCGTTAATCTCATAACTGACATTTACACAATACATAGAGAATTTTCTCCCTGTTAAACCTAATAATTGGTTCTGTTTTGCAGACTTGTTTCACACATGCTAAGCCATGGCTTGTTTAATTGTGTTTTACTGATTAGGCACAGTTGGTTGGGTTCACATTTAATAAAAGATAACCATGGTTTTCTAAACCACTGACACAGGTTGTAACATACAGTACTAGGCTAGAGTGTAGAGACTAAAACTAAACATTTTTTTTTGTGACAGTACTTGGCTGCAAGGGGTAGAAGGACAACACAATGTGCCAAACTGTGTTTCTTTGGTAGGTACATTTTTAAAAGTTGTGTTAAACCTACTCCACAAATAAATTGGTGTTTGGGTTGCTGATCTCAAAAATGATGTAAACTGAAATTCAGTAGTGGGGAAAGCAAAATAAGGTTTTAGGAGGCTGCATATGATGAAGGGACCAAGCTATCCACTGACTATATAAATCATGGCGTGCAAACAATTCTGACTAGATTAGCAGAAATCAAAGCAAGACAAATCATATTAAGATTTAGATGGCAGTGTGAACCCATAAGTGCCCATTCTCGTCAAAATATTTCAAACTGCAGGAGTGAACCAAGACTTTCCAGATATTGGAGTCCAAAGTTCTTGTCACCTTCAGCAGGATGGTAATTGTTAGGAATGGTGGAAGTTGTAGTCCAATTCAGCTGTTTCTTTAATATACTTTGATCCAGGAGATTGCACATGTTTCTTCCTGGGAGTCCGAGCTTCCAGCAACCATGGTATACTCCTTTCTGAAGAATCTATCTTTCAATTCAGGGATTTTAAAGAACTACTATCATGAATACATACCCCTTTGTGTGTATAGTGGTGGTAGGGAGATTGTTGATATGGTAGTGGCTGAGAGTTTCACAGCGTCCTGCACAAAGCAAATTATCTGGACCAGGGGTGAAATGTAAAATTTGTTACTACCGGTTCTGTGGGCGTGGCTTGGTGGGGGGGGTAATGTGACTAGGTGGGCATGGCCAACTTTTTTTTTTTAACTTTTCAAAGCATTTTTTCTAATGCTTTGAAAAGCCTCTGACGATCAGGCAACTCAGCTGGGATCTTCAGAGAGGCTTTTAAAAAAATACCTCTCTGCCGATCAGGCAACTCAGCTGGGATCGTCAGAGAGGTTTTTTTAAAAATACCTCTCTGCCGATCAGGCAACTCAGCTGGGATCGTCAGAGACTTTTCAAAGCATTTTTTTTACCACCTCTTCAGCCAAGAGGTTGCAGAAAAAAATGCTTTGAAAAGCCTCTGACGATCCCAGCTGAGCTACGCGATCATCAGAGGCTTTTTTTTTTTACTTTTAAAAGCATTTTTTCGTTGTAGAAAAAATGCTTTTAAAAGTAAAAAAAAAAAGTCTCTGATGATCGTGCGGCTCAGCTGGGCATGGTAGGGGGGGGCAGGAATTTTTGCTACTGGTTCTCCGAACCACCCACCGCCATCGCTACCAGATCGGGTGATCCGGTCTGAACCGGGAGCATTTCACCCCTGATCTGGACCCTTTTCAAACACAGTTTTGGCCTGGAGATAGAACGGAGATAGCATTGGTCATCTCTAGGATAACCTGTGTCAGGACTTAAGAGTGCATCTCTTTTGACCCTGTTGGACCTTTTGTTTTTTTATACCATTGATCATAGTATCTATTTGGTTGGGAATTGGGGGCATTGTTTTGTAATGTTTCTATTCCTTCTTCAATGAATCATTTCAGATTGTGATGTGGGGAGCAAAAATCAGCTCAGTGGCCCAACACATGGGATGTAAGGGGTCCGTTCCTTCCTCCATTTGTTAATCATAAGTAGTAGCTAGCCGAGACCATGTGACAGCTCAGGATATCTTATTTCTTGTAGGCTGATGATATCCAATCTGTACATCACTATCTCAGGCTATAAGGGAGATACTATCAATGTCCTTTCCCAATACCTGGAGTCTCTAAGCATCTGGATGGGAGAGAATAGGCTGAAGTTGGAAGCCTAGTAAAATTACAGTAGCAGTTTGTACATCAGGATCCTCCATTGCCACAATTTTTTGATAGGCAGGCACTCCTCATGAAAGAGCATGTCTGCAATATGTGAGTCATTCTGGATACACATCTTCTGCTTGAACGATAGGTAGAAACCATGGTCAGAGGGATCTATGCCCAGCTACACTAACTGGAATAGGAGGACCTGGCTAAAGTAACTCATGCTCTCATTACCGTCTGAAGATTGACACAATGTGCTTCACATGGGCTTTAGAAGTTACCTGGAAACTGCAAATGGTCCATTGGCTATCAGTTGATTTCTAGATAGAATTTAAAGTGCTGGTTTTGACTTATAAAAGCTACTGTCTTGGCATTTAAATACCTCCAGCACCACCTACTTCAATCAGCATCAGACTAATGTATTAGAATATCTAGGGAGAAATGGCATGCCACGCTTCTGAAAAGACATCATGTATACATACAGAATCTAGAAAGTGTTGCTTTTCTGTTATAGCACCAGCAGAACAACCTCCTGATGGAGATCAGGTTAAGCCTCTCCTTGCTGGCTTTCCACAAAATGTTAAAAACCGTATTTTGGAGGTCGGTTTATTAAATTTACACTGAATATTATCTGGTTCTTGGTTTTTGTTTTATTTTTGTATCCTTTTTTAATGATCTTGTGTCAGAAACTTATTGTGGTTATTGAGATTGGTTTTAACCTGACCTTGGAAGTTTTAATCCTTGTTTTCTATATACTGTAAGCTACCAAGAGACACTTTGATTGTCACAGGGTAAAGCTTTTTAAAATAAACACTACCCAAGTGTGATACAAATAAAGAAATAAAAAATATTGTGGTTATCTGGATGTTTGAAGATTACCTTTACAATTCCTAATGTGGCACTGGCCTCTTGTTCCAGTGGTTGCATTTTTCTTCCATTAGCTTTTATCAATGAAATGTTACATGGAAATATTCTGAATCAAACAGTTGAAATTATCATCTGAACTATCCACAAAATGTAGAACTCGACCTTAGTTTTGGTTTATTGCTTTACTTCACTTTCCATTTTCACCTTTTTTTTGCATTGTTGTTTACTGTGCAATACTCAAAACACATTCACCTCTATTCCATTCCCTTGGTTCAAACTACAGTCCTTGCCTATCTACTCAGCTTCTCATTCTTAATTCTTTTTTCTTCAAACTACCACAGTAAAATATTTAATGGACCTTTAACTATTTTGGATTTAGTAGACAAAATTTATGTGCTACTGCACATAGATACAATCTTACTCCCAATTTATCATGTATAAAATGCATAAAAGGTCATGTGCAAAATCCCGAATTTAAGATCCCTGCTTTAATGGACACCTTTTCCCCACCAGCTCGTTAAAGGAAAAGTCTTGTTTTTTGTCACTATCACCATAATTTTTAATCCAATTCTTTATTAATTACTTGGTCACACTATCTACCAATTCTAGCACTTTCTACGGCATTTTCATAAAGGTTCTTTTGAAAGCTTTTTACCTTTCAAAAATTCTCAGTTTGTTTCTAAGCTTTCATTTTAGCTGAAATGAAGCTACCAACATCTGCTTACATTTTTTTTGTCCGCCATTTACTATGGTTGAAATTTGAAGATTAGCAAATTTATTCAAGGACAGTTGTTTGAGATGATAGTTCAGTCTTGAAGAGTATCTTTTTGTTTTGGTCAATTCACAAGAATAGAGTTTTCTTTTCTCACTGCCCTCAAATCTGGCAGCACTGTTAGTTTGACCTGGCTATATATAGCCTGTTTCAGCACAGCATGTACTTAAGAGTGGAAAACAGAATGGAGACTACCTGTGATCCATAGGGATTCATATCAATCTTATCAGTAATATTTTCTGCCCTGATAGGAGAATCTAAGGATCACATTTGAGAATTGGGTCATAAGAACAGAATGGGTGCTTCTTGTATACTTCCCCTCTAACTATATACCAAACTCTCAATGTGAAGGATAAGGATAATATTCCTGGAGTGCTGGAGAGTCCAGAAATTGAGACCAAAGCTCGAGCTGGAGATTGTTGCATGCCTATTGATGGAAATCAGTTCAGCAAAAAAGACTCAATTTTGGTTGAATTTAAAGTGAGACTTTTAAAAATATTATGTCCTACGTTGGCTTCCAAGACAAAGGTAGGAAACTGAATAGGACAAACAAACAAAGCCAATGTTTTAAGAATCATAACCATTTTCATGAACTTTATTAAAGCTCACTAAAGGCATCACAGGAACCAACAACAAAACCCATGTATTATACCTTCATCTGGTTTTTCACACACAAAAGTGAAATGTAAGCAATTGTGCATGCTGCTTCACATACTTGTTCTCATCTTCTAGCAAATGTTTCCGACAATGATAGAAATAACTTTTTAAAGCTTGGCTTTCATTTTGTTTTTGACCAAATGCCTTTTCAATGGAAAAAACGTAACAAAATTGGAGACAAAAAGAAAAACTACCTTGGCATCTACAAAAGGTCTAAGTGCACTCATTTCAAAGGAGCAGTGCCTTTTGCAACGATTTCAAGACACTTTAGCCTTAATTGATACAAAGGGTTAAATTCCTGCACAGAAGATTTTAGTCAGTGTTCACAATTCCACAGGAATCTGAAAGTTACCAAGGCAATTTTCCTTTTAAAATTATCATGATTTCAACTTCTAGCTTGTCAATATATTCATTCCCCACATAATACAACATAATTCCAAAATATAAATAACTCCCCAAACATATCTTCCCTAATATCACATAATACATTTTACCACAATGAAATTCCTCACTGAAATGCAATAGGCTAGTCCAAGTCCATGCTAACTGGGCTTTCATTCATGTGGCAATCGCCATTCTGTTGCGTGGTCTCAATGTTTTTGATTTCTTCTTCTAATTCTTCAGTTTTGTTGATGAAAGATGTATCTGGTGGCTCTTCCTGTTTAGGAGAATCTATTTGTGGCTTTGGTTGGTTAACAATGGGGTCACATAAACCGTGTATTTCCTACAAGAGAGAAACATTACAAGAGTAACACAATGCATCTCCCATTGTGAGTCCAAAAAGCAAACATTTTGCTTTTATTTAGGCTTGAGTTAGATGTGATGACTCTGAAAGTGAGGCTAAAATTATTTTGCAGTACAAGTATATTTACTAAGAAATGCAGGAGCCCTATTGATTCTCAATAACTGAAGAAATCACAATACATACATGTAGAAAATAAAGAAAGAAATAATACACCACTCATTTTTATCTTGATCAATTCCCCGCCCTCCTCATTTTGGCATGCAATAGTCACGTAAGAAATGAGGAGAGACAGTGGAACGTTTTAATTTTATGCTAATACCATTACATTTGTTATTCTCTGCCTTTTATTCAGAACAGGTTTAAATTAGACGTGACCAAAAAAATGAATCATAAGAAACATATGTGATTACAAGGAATTTAGCTTTTTCTTTGACATGAAGATCTTCACCATAATTAAAACTTACCCTCAGCTTTCTTCTGATTTCATTTACACGCACAACAGGATCCTGATCAAGATTTTGTTTAGCTTGGATGTTTATAATGTTGTTTAGCCATTCTGTTGTGTCACTGATACACTTCTCAACTTTATTCATTTCACTTTCGTCAATATGAATATATTTCTCATCCTGAAATAAAAATGCAGTATGTTAGTTATTCCTATAAGCATTTTTTCCAAGGTTATCTCAAACTTTAAGTATCAGCACTAATATTCTTTTTTTTAAATTTTTTAATTTTATTTTTGCTATATATAGGAAGAGCAACAGTTTCAATGTCTATATAAACAGTATGTTGCCTGGTTATAATTAGTTTCAGCACTAATATTCTTGTTCACCAATTAAGGGCTATTTTATTTGCCAATAATATTTATTTATTAAACAAATTTATATAGCTCCCCAACTCAGATACAGTGACTCCAGGCTACCCCCCATCACACTCTATAGCCATGATGGCGAACCTGTGGCATGTGTAGCCATATCAGTGGGTACGCCAGTTCAGCTCTGGCGCGCATGTGCGCGCTGGCCAGCTGATTTTTGGGCCTTCTGGGCCCATCAGAAGTAGGGAAACAGGCTGTTTCCTGCCTCTGGAGGGCTGGGGGTGGGGCGTGGGGAAGGCCCCTTTTTCTTTCTTACCTGGCTCCAGATCCTCTCTATGCATCTGGGAAGGGCGAAAACAGCCTTTCCCACTCCCTCAGAGGCCCTCCGGACGCCTGAAAGGGCCCATTTCCCAACTTCAGGAAGTGACGTTTTTTGCTGTCCCCAGCCTCTAGAGACTCCTA